GATGTCGTAGATTTGGTCGGTGAAACCACGCTGGAAGAGGCGGTAGATGTTAGCAAAGCCGCATCACTAGCCGACAAGGCATGGTTGGAGGATTTCTTACAGAAAGCATCTCATCGGCCTCGTCGAGGACGAACATCTTCATGGCGTCGGTCTTGAGGAAACGACGCTGGATCATGTCGTGGACACGGCCGGGGGTGCCGACAACGACCTGGGGGCCGTCCTGGAGGGCCTTCATGTCCTCACGGACGCTGGTGCCGCCAATGCAGGCGTGGCACTCAACGTTCATGAAGTCGCCAATAGCGACAACAACCTTCTGGATCTGCTGGGCCAGCTCACGGGTGGGGGCAAGGATCAGAGCCTGGCACTGCTTGACGGCGGGGTCGATCTTCTGGAGAACGGAGATGGAGAAAGTGGCAGTCTTTCCAGTACCGGACTGGGCCTGAGCAATGACATCGTGGCCCTTGATAACAGGCATAATAGCACGCTGCTGAATAGCAGAGGGACGCTCGAAACCGTAGGCGTAGACTAGCCCCTTGTTAGATTTTGGCCCCTTTTTGTAGCAAAGTCACTTCGTGCGGGAGCGGAGGATGGATAGCACTCACCACCTCGGAGGAGCTCAGACTTGAGGTTCATGTCATCAAAGGAGTCGACGGTCTCGTCGTAGTTAGACTCGATTTGTCCTGTAACGCAACCGCCGTTAGCAAAAATTCGAACAACCAGGGCGGGGCCGCCATGGGGATCGCAAGGTTGGGTATCGTGGGGTCGAAGTCAGAAAAGAGCCTGCGAGGGTTTGCGCGCACAAGCAAAGCCTCCGCAAGACTCCGACACCACAGTCCGCCAGATATATGATGGAGATTTTGCAGTCCAACTCACCCTCGGGGACATCCTCGAGTCCTTTGTCAGCCATGATTGCGGTTGAAGAAGAAGATCTAGATCAAGCACAGCTCGACCTAGAATGGTTGAAGAAAAAGTAGGCGGGGTGGAAGCGACAAGAAGACAACAGACTTCTCTCGAGAGAAGGCTGGAAACGGTTGAGAAACTGGAAAAGTTGTCGACTAGATTCGTACACTCTCGAAATATACGAGAGCAGAAGGAACCTAGGAAAAAAAAGTCGTGATGATATAGTCAGTTGAAGGTGGGAGAGAGGAGAGAGAAAAAAAAAGACGACTGAGGGGCGATGCTTGTTTTTTTTTTCCTACCCACCATGGCTGTGGCCAATCACTTGGGGGTCGGGGTGGCCTGGTGGGGCAGCGGTTAGGGTACCTAGAGCACTGTACAGGCGAAGTTAGCATTCAAGAATTTTTTTTCCATTCTGTCAATATGGAGTACAGTGCACTAGCATCCAGTAAGGTCCCTAGCCGTAAAGAAACTTAGTCCCTAGCCGCAGTACAGTACACTTTGTGGCGGGTTCTGCCTTTTGGTTACGCTCCATCACATGTTGGTGTTGCTGGCTGGCATCGAGTCACAGAGGATTTGGCTTATCTCGCAAAAGGCTTGAATGTTCTGTGACTCATTGGGGAATGTTAATAATTTTTTTGTGTTTGCTAAATCTCAAACTTTGATATAATACAATATAGCTAGTGTTAATCGAGATATTACGCCTCGGTGGCAATCAATATCCGTACTAACTGGACCTCCATTTACCCTTACGAACGAAACTTTGCTTCGCGCGTATGCAGAGGATACTATATTAGACAACTCTTTTTTCGCCAACATGACCCTTTTACTTTTTGCTCATAAACTCAAACACGTACTGTACGTCCATATTAAAACGGCTGGGTAGTTAGCTGCTTAATAAACACGCTTGAAGGGAGGAACAGGCTTGCACTCGTTCTCGTCCAGAGTAGTGGAAATGACCTTGCGGTATGTCAGGTCCACCTTGCCGTGAGGCTGCTTCTGGAAACTGAGAGTGTGCTTCATCCAGTTCTCGTCGTCACGGTCGGGGAAGTCCTCACGGGCGTGAGCGCCACGAGACTCCTTTCGGGCAGCGGCGGAGGTGGCGGTTTGAACACTGCGATATGCAAAAGTTAGTCATAGTTCTTGTCACATGCGATTTGGGTGTCGTAGATAACACTTACGCGCAAGTGAGCAAGTTTCTCAGCTCAAGGGTCTCGACGAGATCCGAGTTCCAGATCATGCTGCGGTCCTTGATGCCAACATCGGCAAAGGTCTGGTCGACCTCGGTCATCCTGCGGACACCCTCGTCCAAGCTCTCCTGGGTTCGGAAAACGCTGACCTCGGTCTGCATGGTCTTCTGCATGGCCAGACGGATCTCAGCGGTGCTCTTGGGGCCGTCAGATGTTCGGATCTTGTCAAGGACCTCAATGTGGTCAGAACCGGCATCGGCGGCGAGAGGCTTCAGCTTGTCGCCAGGGGTGAAGTTGTCACGGATGGTGTGGGCAACGGCACGACCAAAGACGACCAGATCCAAAAGGGAGTTGGCGCCCAGTCGGTTAGCACCGTGGACAGACACTGAAGCAGCCTCACCGCAAGCGAACAGGCCGGGGACGATCTTGTCCTGGCCGTTCTCATCAATGGTAAGAACCTCACCAGTGTATCGGGTAGGGATACCACCCATGTTGTAGTGGACAGTAGGCAGGACAGGAATGGGCTGCTTGGTGACATCGACACCAGCGAAAATGCCGGCAGTCTCAGAAATACCAGGAAGTCGCTCAGCGAGAATTTCCGCAGGCAGGTGGCTGAGCTGCAGGAAGATGTGATCCTTCTCAGCACCAACACCACGACCCTCGCGGATCTCCATTGTCATTGATCGAGAGACAACGTCTCGAGAGGCGAGATCCTTGGCGGTGGGGGCATATCGCTCCATGAAGCGCTCACCCTCGCTGTTCAAGAGATAACCACCCTCACCACGAGCACCCTCAGTGATCAGGCAGCCAGCGCCGTAGATACCAGTGGGGTGGAACTGAACGAACTCAAGATCCTGGTTGGGCAGGCCAGCTCGGGCCACCATGGCCATACCGTCACCGGTACAGGTGTGAGCAGATGTGCAGCTAAAGTAGGCACGTCCGTAACCACCAGTTGCCAGGACGGTGTTGTTGGCCAGGAATCGGTGCAGGGTGCCATCCTCCTGGTTGTAGGCGAGGACACCACGGCATTCACCATCTTGCATAATCAGGTCGATGGCGAAGTACTCGATGAAGTAGTTGGCGTTGTATCGGAGAGACTGGCCGTAGAGAGTGTGCAGAAGAGCGTGACCGGTTCGGTCAGCGGCGGCACAGCATCGGTAGGCCTGGCCACCCTTGCCAAACTTCTGGGACTGACCACCAAAAGCTCGCTGATAGCTAAAACAAAAAAACATCCGTATTAGTAAAATGCGGGGGAGGGGCACCAAGCAAGGTGCTTGGTATCATGGCATGATTGAAGAAACTCACATCTTGCCATCCTCAGTTCGGGAGAAAGGGCAGCCGTAGTGCTCCAGCTCGATGATGGAAGCAGGGGCCTCACGGGTCATGTAGTGGATGGCATCCTGGTCACCCAGCCAGTCGGAGCCCTTGACAGTGTCGTACATGTGCCATCTCCAGTCATCTTCGTGCATGTTTCCGAGGGCAGCGTTGATACCGCCCTGAGCAGCTACCGTGTGACTTCGTGTGGGGAAGAGCTTAGAAATACAGGCAGTCTTGAAGCCGGCTTCAGCAAGACCCATTGTTGATCTCAAACCTGCACCGCCTGCACCGACAACAATTGCGTCGTATTCATGGTCCTAATAGTCGCGACGCATGGTCAATTGACAATGTCCTCTTGCAACTTGTCTCGCCGACCCAGAGAGATCTCAATCTGGGGGCGGGGGAGGGGGCCGACGTACAATGACGGGGTACTTGGAGCTAACAAAGGGGGAAGCTTCCTTTGCTCTCAGAGGTCCATTTGTGATAACGCGGGCTATTTCCGAAAACATATATCAGCACCTGATCGCATGCGTGTCTTTTCTTCCCGCGATGTTCGATCGGAATTCGCAAATCGCAAATTGTAGCTCTCGGAACAGGGTGGACCTACCTGCCGGTCGAGTAGATGAGAAGTTCCTAAGCTGGCTCCTGGCAAATCGCGAAAACTATGGTCAATGTCAGTCTCGGCAAGCTGCAAGAATGAAAAGAGGCCAATCCAGCTCATGCTTCCTCCAAGCTATGCTCGCCCGGCGATCCGTTTTGCGCGCAGAGTAACGGAGGGGCAGCGAGCGAATCGGCAGGGTTTTTTTCCTGGTCACGTACCGAAGAGCCAGAGGCCAACTTCCTCAAAGCCATAGAAGATGCCATTGTGAGCGAAGCAAGAAATCCGGGGTCACCAGGCTGCGTCCGCGCAAAAATTTGAAGCAGCAATGGCTTTACACAGACAGCTCGGCAATGCTTGGAGGTTTGGCAGCGTATGTCACGTTTTCGTAGATGGAGACTTCGGAAAAGCATGTGTCGGTCCTCGGCTATCTGGACCAATCAGAGGGTGTGTATTTGTAGTGGGATCGGGATTAGTAAGGATTTGGGAAGCAGACGGCTCAGCGCTGCTGCTAGGCGGTACCTAACAATCCTCGTGATGCCGCGCGAAGCAGTTTATAAGACGATGGGTCGATATATCTTTTGGATCATCGAGTACCTAGTAGCGGCTTAGATAAATACTTGGCGAGAAGTATATACCACCTTATTTCTAATAATAGTTTTATCAAACATAAATTGTAGAATCGAGGTGACCAAAACGGGATTCTTTCCTCTCTGTCCTGGTATTCTCGCTGTGATGGCCCCATTTTACTCGGCACGACAGCAGCCATTGGGCAGAGAAGAAAGAATCTGCCCACTAACAACTTTTGTCAACACCACACGACCAGCTGTGCTTGATAGCCAAAAAAATCTTGGTCTTCTTCGCTAGAAATAGCAAATATCATCTCATTACTTACCAAATTAGAACATACACTTTACTTGGTCTTCATCAGCTCGAATTTTGCGCAACAGGGTTTTCAATGCCTAAAAATTGTTCAATTCTTTGCCGCGAATAGCATCATGCCTTCAGCAATCTCACACGAAGCCAGCGACTCGATTGGCGACAGCCATTCTGATTCAATTCCAACCCACCCTCTCGGAGTCAAGCCCCTGGGGAATCAGTATCTCGCCACCAGGCCGATTGCCCGAAGAAGTATTGGCACATGGGCAGTTTTACCTGATGAGATCCTTGCCCTTGTTCTCGAGGGTTTCGACAAAAGTTCACTGTTGAGCCTTGGGTCTACATGCAAGTTTTTATATGCATTCTGCCACTCTGAAGAGCTATGGAAAGCCCTCCATCTTCGGTAATTTTTAGCCACGGGTTTCCTTGTGTGGACATACCTACCATATGACACGAGCTAACGTGGAATAAATTTCTAGATCCCAATCGACGAGCAGCTCATCTATTAATTGGCGGGGATCATGGAGATCGACCGTTTTGGGCCTTGACAGTGATCGACAAGCAAAGGTTGACTGTAGCAACGTCTTTTCCGATGTCCTACATCGACCTTTTGCCTGCAGCAATATTGAGCTGGCAAAATATGTCACAGGGATACCAAAAGCGAATCAGATTCACCGGTTTGAGAACCTCACATATGAAGAGTATGCCGAAAGATGGACCGAACAACCTTTTGTCTTGACAGAGTGCATTCAAGAATGGCCAGTTTACTCCCAGTGGACCATTCATTCCTTACTCGACAAGTTCGCCAATGTTGAGTTTCGTGCCGAAGCAGTGGACTGGACATTCTCACAGTATTGTGATTATATGAACCGGAACAGAGATGAGAGCCCTCTCTACTTGTTTGATCGAAAATTCGCTGAGAAGATGGAGCTCAAGGTCGGACACTCGGAGGGTGCCTCGTATTGGCGGCCGGACTGCTTCGGGCCAGATCTCTTTGAGGTCTTGGGAGACGAGCGGCCGGCTCACCGGTGGTTGATTATCGGGCCCGGACGAAGCGGGTCTACTTTCCACAAGGATCCCAATGGGACGAGTGCGTGGAATGCCGTGATTCAGGGGTCCAAATACTGGATCATGTTTCCGCCAACGGCCCAGGTACCCGGAGTCTACGTATCTTCAGACAGCAGCGAGGTGACAAGCCCCCTGAGCATTGCTGAGTGGCTGCTCACGTTCCACGAGGAGGCGAGACACATGCCTGAGTGTGTTGAGGGCATCTGCAATGCTGGAGAGATACTTCATGTTCCGAGTGGATGGTGGCATCTCGTGGTGAACATTGAAAAGGGCATTGCGCTGACACAAAACTTTGTCCCTCAGTCTCCCAGCCTAAATCTAGTCTCCGAGGTCTTGTCGTTCCTAAGGGACAAGCCGGATCAAGTCTCTGGCTTCTCGCGAGACGTGGAAGATCCCTTTGGCCTTTTCACAGCCAGACTCAAGCAAAACTACCCAGACGTTCTGGAGAAGGCACTAGAATTGGCTGATAAGAAGAATGGCAAAAAGAGAAAGTGGGATACGGCGGTGGGCCGAGATGAAGAGCAAGCAGAAGGGTTTAGTTTTGGGTTTGGAGGCGATGATGATGAGATCCCGTAACGGCAGTCTATGTATAGCTGGGCACTGTATCTATGATTGATGAATATCTTGGGAGTTGGCATGAATGATTGACATACAAGTACACGCGTATATACAACTTGCGATATGTGATAGATTGCAAGTATCGGCATGTAGATATAGGATTACTAGGTACTACCAGGTAGTAGGGAGTTCTGGGTGTGGGTATACGGAGTACAACGCACTGGGCATGTACCTATGCACGACAACTTGAACTTTGCGGGGCTCTACAGGGTTGATCCTGCATGGCCCTCTATTGTGTGTGATGTGATTATTTTGTAAGCAGAGAGGTACCCCTGACACAAGTTGAAATAGGGAAATACGTGGAGGTTGATATCCATGAGACCTGTGGCGCTGGCTGTGAATACTGATTGCTCAAGCCCATTGCGGGCAATTGCCAATTGGGTAATAGTGAACACGAGCTAAAAGATGGAATCAATGCTGTCATCCTTGTCCCCGACTCTTGACCTCTGATGCGAGACACAATTGGGGACAAGATTCGGAGTGACCGTTTGCCATGCGGGCGGATTTGGAAGTGGCAGCACTACGGAGATGCGAATGAAGGTGCTGGCTGGGCTATGTAGATATCCGAGTTGGGGTTGATATCAGTCTAGCTGGGCATGTGCTGGACTGGGATGAACCAACTGGCGCTTGGGCTTCAAGAAACCAGACGCTAATCACCCCGATTTCCCTAGATGTCAAGGCGTAAGATTCGATGGGATGGAGGAGAGTTTCAGGCAGAGGGTCCAGGGGATGGCTTTAGAGGGTATCAAATCCAATATTGCACCAGACTGGACTACCTCAAGTGGTGGTGGTGGGATGTAGTAGCGGGTGGGATTCAGGGGGATCACGACTGGTTGCAAATCAGAGCAGAAGCCGACCACGTCACCACACAGCACAGCTTCCGAGTGAGTTGCAGCAAGAGAAGCCACCCGCAGAAGCAACTCAAGTCCATCCATGTAATCTGTCTCCCTCCAATCACCGCCGGCGGAACCCAGGACTGGCACCTCACTGACTCGGCACTACTGTTGTTAGCACTGCGAGTTAGCTGGGACTGTTCATGCTAGAGCACCCGCGAAAGAGGCTCTAGCGTCCGCGGCCATGGATGTAGCTGTTGGACCTGTCGGTTGCTTTGTGCTGCTGAATGGACTGATCTATATTTGACCTACAGTTGGCCGCTGGTCGAAGGGGGGGAGGAGCTAGTTGAAGAGAGAGAGAGGAGAGCAACACAGAGGACAAAGAACAGACCAAGACAGCTCCAGTGCTCCATCCAACTCGTGTACTCGTCGGTGCTAAGGCAGTGAGTGAGTATGAGTACAACAAGTCAGTTAGCGCTCGAGGTACCGCCTAAGGTATTGACCGCAGCAGTAGCAACAGCAACAGCAACGAGGCAGCCATAAGCACGCCATTGCGGCTCTTCACAGCTTTGTTTCAATCGATCTTGACAATGGATGTTGGTTGGTCCGACTTGATTTGTCCCGGCAAGTTCCCGGCCGCAAGAACAAGTGGCAGAAGCACAAAGAAATCCAATACCAGACCCCAGAAGTGTCCGGCAGTCCCCCTCCAAAGCACCTGTACCTTGTCCAGCTTTAGCCTTTAGGTACCCAAAACCCCCCCGAAGGACCGCCCGGGCAGCTAGCGGCTTTATTACTGGGCCACCTACCAGGGGCGGGCCACCAACTTCGCCTCCACCACCGACCGACCTGTCGCGAGTCTCGTCCATCTGGTCAGCTTCAACCCTTCCTTCATCTCTCTCGCCGTCTGTCCATCCTCTGCCATCTTCTGCCTTGACCGGAGCAGGGCCTTTTAGAGGGGCGACGATACAGCAGCTCGCCATCGGCACAGCGAGTGCGGCGCTCGACTTCTCCACGAAACTTGTCTTTGCTGGGCCGGGGTTTGCGACGCAATGTAAGCTTCGTCGCTGCCCTTCTCCGCCCTTTCTTCACCGTCCACGCGCCTTTGTGTCCGCTTGCTGGCCTCTCTGTTTCTTCGATTCTCGGCTTCTCCCGTCGTCTATAATAAATCCAGTTCTGATTCACTCTTCATCGTCATCCTTGTCTCGTAATAGTTTCGCAGCTGTGAGTGCTTGTGACTCTGATACATGGCTACCTACCCCTAGGTAGGTAGCTTTGATAATCGGACCTTTGTGAAAGCATACCTTGCCTATTGCTCAGCAAGCACTGACAACACCTATTCTTAGGAGCTTGTACTTTGTTCTTTCTTTATCATCGGTCCGCGCTTTGATTCTCAGCTTCATTGTCTTCTTTTATTCACCACCACTCCCGAAGCTCTTGCTTCCCTATCTACTCTTCGGCGCTGGTCCCCACCATTCGGCCATATATATTACGACTACTTTGATCGCAAGCGTTGATCTTTTAGCCTTGCCTCGATACCGAATCTCTACCGAGTAGAACACCTCGCCGACTTGTTACACACACATATATACATACTCTGGTATTTGAGCTGGCCCGTCTCGCCAGGTCCAACCAACCGCAATCATGGTATTAGACGAGCACTACGAGATGTGCCTGCCTATCCTGCAGGACCCAAGGCTCGAAGACGAAGATAAGACGGATAGAATAGAGGAGCTGTTCAAAAGAGAAACCAACATGATTGGCATGTCTTTGGATAACGCCATCCTCGATGTCATGTGGCGATGGCGTGAATGCGGAGGGACCTCAACGTCACCGCCTCCCATCCGTCAGACCATCTTGCGACGACCATCTCCGGCTTCGTGGAGGGGCGGCACTCCATTGTCAGGCTCGCCACGGCTGGCCGTTAGTCCCCTTGCGCCGCCCGGATATATCCCCGCTACCTTTGGCAGGACCAAATCGGTCACAGCTTCACCCTTTGGATCGCCACGGGCTTCTCCTCGTCTGGCCCTTGCGACCCCCGTGATTCCCCATAGCCCAAATCTCAACGCATATGAGTTTGCCAGCGATCCCACCCCCGCCACCGAGATTCTCGGAGAATATCAGATCGAGAATGTCGACTGGCTGGTCAACGATGACACCATTAGTCTCTCGTCGTCTGTGGGCACTACCAGGAGCCTCAATGCCGCCGCCCCTGAGTTTTCGTCCATGTCCTCGCAGCAGATTGACATGTCGCCTTACGACATGCTCAGGTCAATCCTGGGACATACGAGAACTGATGACGAGATTGAATCAGCCCTTGCGGCACACAACTACGATTTGAGCGCAACCATCACATCCATGATGGAGGTTCCGCAAGACGGCGGCGTGCGACTTGATGAGCCCAAGAACGTTCTCATTGGCAAGTCAATATCTGCAGAGGGTCGCCCGTCCACCCCGGTGAACCAAAAGGCCGGCGTTATTTGCAAATTTTACATGTCGACTGGCCAGTGTCTGCGCGCAGACTGCCGGTTCAGTCATGACCTCAGCAACCACTTGTGCAAGTAAGTGCAGACAGCGTAAAACTCATATAGGGTACTTCTAAGCCCAAACCTGCTAACGCTGTCAACCTAGGTACTGGATCATGGGCAATTGCCTGGCCGGCGAAACGTGCATCTTCTCGCATGACCCAACTAAGCTTGTGAGCAAGATGTCGCTGGAGAGCGGCACGAATACTCCTACTAGGAGCCACAGCAGTTTGATGCTTCAGGATATGAACTCGTTTCCCTCCCTACAGTCTAGCGACTCCGATGGAGCCTTTGTTGGTAGTCCCAACTTTGCCTTTGGAATCGGCGCATCGCCGGGATTGCGATCCTTGCGAGCAGAGAGCCCGCGACCTAGATCGAGGCCCGGAAGCCGACATCAGGCAAAGGAAAATCATGCCGTAGCCCCAGCCCTCGATGACAACGAGGCCTTCCCGTCTCTTGGGTCGGCCATTGCAAAACAAGGGAAGAAGCATCACGGTAAGCGAGGAGGGCACGGCCACAAGGAGAACGGCACCCCTAGCTCTTTGGCGGATATTGTCAAGATGAACCCACCTGCGTCTCCAAGGCTGGAGGTGCGTAAACCCGTTAGCAATGGCAACGGCACTATTGGCAGAGATGGCGAAAACAGTGCTGCAGCGCTCGCAATTCCTAGCCCCAAACACATTCCTTGGCTGGAAACTGGAGAGCATGCCAACAAGGCATATCTCAAGGCCCGTCAAGATGCTATAAAGCATGGCGGCCTCAGGAATAAGTTCTTGCAAAGGTACGTCTACATGGCTCTGAAACAAAAATAGATCGAAACTCTAACACCAATCCCAGCGCTGCTCAAGCATGGAATCGTAACGATGCCCGAGCCGCCAAGGCTCTCAGTCTCCGTGGCCAGAGCGAGAATGACTTGATGAGAAAGGCCCATAGGGAGGCAGCTCGCGAACTCTACGAGCAGCGAAACAAGAATTTGGACGGCATGCCAGAGGTATACGTCGACCTTCACGGCCTTCATCCAGAGGAAGCCGTTGAGTACTTGGAAAAGGTCCTCCTGGAGAACGAAAAGGGAGGTAGGCCTGTCTACGCCATCACCGGAACTGGCCACCACAGCAAGAACGGCAAGGACAAGGTGGGAAAAGCAATCCGTGCATTCTTGAACGAGTGGCGATATGCGTACCGCGAGTTCTCCGTACCGGGAGATCGCAACAGCATGGGCGGCATCTTGGGAGTGGATGCCAGCAGTTGGGACAAGTCACTAGCAAGAGATGGGGCCGACGAAGACAAAGCCGCAGTCGACATTCTGAGCCAAGGTGTCGAGATTGGCGATGGCAAAGTCAGGCTGCTGGTCAGGGACCCTCCCAAGGGTCCAAGCGGCCGCCGATGACAATGCGAGAACTAAACAAGTAAAAGACTTAAAAACCGATGCAAAAAAAGGAGGAAGTGTGAAGGACTACCTAGTTGGAGGAAGAGAGTTAGGTAGAACGTATCTCATGAAGAACTGAACTCTGCTATTATCACGGCACGTCGACTTTGGTGAATGGTGTGTTGTGTTGTACATGTATCCATCAGGTACCTTTTGACAGGTACTAGCAGTCATTGTTCCCCAGCCGGTACTCCGTACTGAGTGCGGTGATACACGCTTGACAGCATCATCACATACGAGTACACATTGACTATCTACATCCTTATTGACGGTTGCATGATTTTGACTGACACAGCCAATGTATCAAGCAATTATCAGTCTCACGGATCGCAACGTTTCTACAGAAGCAGCTCCCATTGGCGGACTTACAACAAGGGCCGTTCCTTTAAAGCTTTTAAGGTGACGGTGGGGCTGACGTAAGGGTACCAGTTCCTTGAGCTACGTCCCATCCATCCAATTGGGGGGAATACAGCGCCTCAGGTACAGGATACGGGTGGACGCACAGGTACCTGCACTCAGGGTCTAAGAAGATGGGCCGCACAAGTACATGCGAGGTACCTTGTTATCGAGCGACACCGCCACCGATAGATGACGAGGAATCGAAGGGCTTATGCTAAACCCTTTCATCCTCTTTGATTCATCATTCTCTTTCCTCGTAAAAGGCCCATTGCAATTACAACAATCGTCTTTTCTTCTTCTTTTTTTTCTTTCGCCTCTTCTTAAGCTTGATTGGGCGTCGACGGACTTGACTCGCCGCAGGGATACGAGCCGGAGCGCTTCCGATCTCGATAATATCGACCGAGCAATCCGCCAGCCAACTCAAAACCAACATTGACTTTTTTTACACGATATTCTTGTTTTTTCTGTTGGATCCGGAATGGAGAGCTAGGGTGGATAGAGGATAATACTTTTTGGGGGTCTTTGATATTCGCATATCCGACTTCATCCTTTCTTCTGCATCTTTTGACGATATCTACTTTATTCGGTTCGGTTCGACGAAGACGTCGCGGATATACAGACAGCTCCTGATCTTGCACCGAGCTGCTTTTACCCCTCAAACGACCACGAGAAAACAAGGAAAAAGGCCAAATAGGCAGAATCCCGAGCTAGAATCACAAGAATGGCGGACCAATACCAGCCCCCGAGGGCCGAAAGCGTCTCTCCAACACCATCCTCTCCCTCGTCGGAGACTCCTCCGCTGTCCTCGTCGGAAACCCGGTTCCCGCACCCGCAGCGCTGGGCTCGCAGGGATGCGAGCCATCGCCTCTCGGGAAGCATCTCGCGGTCGCAGCGGATATCGTCGGGGGCGCAGGGCTGGGTGCGCGACCAGTGGACCATGTATCTCAGATGGAGCGAGAGGATGTACGCGGCGTTCTGGAAGCTCTCGCTGCTGCAGCGGTCGCTTGTTGTTTTCGTCATTTGCCTGGGGTGGACGTTTATCATCTTGTCCATCTTGTACTCGGAGGCCTTTTTTGCTTGGCTGGCGACGGTGTCAAAGTCGTGGCGCGAGATTCCCGGTGGCTGGCTGATTGCCTTTATGCTCATCTTCGCCACTTCGGTCCCGCCCATTGTGGGATACTCGACCGCCAATACCATCGCCGGCTTCGTTTACGGATTCCCCATGGGCTGGCCCATTGCTGCGTCGGCATGCATCATCGGTAGTCTGGCTGCCTTTATGGCCTGTCGAACCGTCCTGAGCGGCCATGTCAACAAGCTGATTGGCAACGACCACCGCTTCGTTGCGCTCGGCCAGGTTCTGCGTAGAGACGGGATCCTCTACTTGACGGGCATCCGTTTCTGCCCGCTGCCCTTTAGCTTGAGCAACGGCTTCCTTGCTACGATCCCGAGCATATCCCCTCTATCATTTGTCATCTCGACAGCGTTGTCAACGTAAAGACCCAGACCTTGTCATATCTTTGTCACACCACCAGTTTGACTAACATTGTCTTTCCAGGCCCAAACTCCTCATCCACATCTTCATCGGAAGCCGTCTCGCCATCATCGCCGAACAAGGCGACGCCATGTCCCTTCGCGACAAGATCATCAATTACATCGGCATGTTCATCGGCGGCGCAATCGGCGCTGCCGCCGGCTTCATCATCTACCGCCGCACCATGGCCCGCGCCGAGGAGCTCGCCCGCGAGGAGGCCACCATCAATGCCGCCGAGGAGGGTGTCGTTGGCTACGAGGACACCGACGATACCCTCATGGATCCCGAGGACGCGGCCGACGTCATGGGCGATGATGACGTTTCGCTGTGGGACAACCAGGGGGATGATGGTTGGGGCGATGGCTATGATGATGATGAACAAGACGTTACCACGAAACTGACAAAGCTGAATAAAGACTAGACTACACACGGACAGGGGGTTATGAAAAAAAACATGTCATGATTTTGTTTATAACGAATTTTTACGTATAGAATAAGAGCACTGGCGTTGACGTGTTTCACAAGGCGTGCAGGTCATCAGATGATTAATTGAAAAAAAAAAATCAATATCAATATTCAAATCGGAGCATACGATAGCTCTTGTGCCATTCTATGTTATACTAAAACTTGCTCGAACCCAAACCCCGTATGTCGTATAATCATCAAGTAGTCGCTTGCTCACAATCATGTTATCAAAGAAACCCCAAGCTCAATATTCACCGAGCAATTAGACAAAAGCCCTGAAAAGCCCCCAGGCAATACCATCTTTGCCCCTGTAAGAAAAGAAAAAGAAAAAGAAAAAAAACCAAAACGCCGCCGCTATAGAGAGCTGACCGAATAGACTAAAACCGTAAACAAGCAATGCTGATGTTGGTCCTCTGCTGCGAATAAGACTGCTGAATAAAAGTGTAACAGAGAGTAGGGTCGAAAATGAGGACAATATGAAAGTCAGTCTTCAACGTTGTTGATACTGATTCATAAATTGAATGGCCTGTTCCATTGGATACCCAATAAAGACAGGGCCTGTGAAAACCATTTGAGCGTTTGGCGCCTTCGATATATCCGGGTTGATAAAGGTAGGCTGCGGAATAGAAGTGCGGTACTCTTGGACAGGATTGTGCTCATGAGGCGCCTTTGTTGGGGTGTAAGGCGCCTGGTCCTGGGCGTTGTTCGGAGCTGGGGCATTCTGAGTCTGGGGATTGGGTGAAGTCGATATGTTCAGACCGGTGAAAGCAGGTGGCTTAGCTCCATGGCCAAAGGGGCATTTTCCAGCTGGCTTCGCCGGAGTTTGAGTGCTCTGTGCAGGACTCGGCATTCGCACGGGCGCAGGGGGCGGCGACATAGGATGGCCTCCTCCGTTGCCGGATTGTTGATAGACGGGCACGGAAATGCCCCAGGGGCGGCTCGGTGATTCTCCTACTCGAACCTCCTTGAGCGGCCGGTCGAAATGACTTTGTCGGTCTTCATCCATGTCGGTCGGCGGCTCAGCAGGGGCTTCTGGGTCCGTGCTTGAGCTGACGGCGTGCGCCCAACTCTCTACTCGGTCTGCTGAAGTTCTCGTGGCATCGCTTGGGCGGCGTGCGTGCTCCTCGTCAGGCAGCATCGGCTTGTGGAGATGGCTCAGGTCTTCAATCATGCTCACAATGTTTCCATACTTTGCATCCAATTTCCTAATCTGTTCTTCGTTGCGCTGATATCTCCGCACGCAGACCTCGTGGCTGCGAGGCAGCTCGTGCTTGTGCGTTTCAACATAATGAGCAATCTCCTCTGGGGAGTGTTTGTCTAAGAATCGGATAGGGCATTTGCTCGCCTGAGTTCCGTTTACGGCGCCTTGCTGAGACGTCTCTTCTTCGTACATGGCAACACAAATAGGGTCTTCAGTGTGATCTGGGGCCAAGTCCGGGCCGGTTTCAGGCTCCCGGTCTTGGTCGGCACCAGCAGCGGCATCCTTAGCAAAGGGACACTGCAGGTTGCCTTTCTTCCCCTCAACGGTGAAATCTTGTTCCAGAGCAGTCGACATGGAGGTTTCTACGTGGGAGGTTTGAGACAGCGTGTCTCTGGATGATGCTGTGGTTTTACTGGCTTCACCCAAGGAGGCGACCAGTTTGTTTGCAGCGCGGCGTCCGTCACGAATGATGAGAGCAATCTGGTGCTGGGACTGCAGAGAGCTTTGCTTAGGAAGAGGCACGGGCAAAGTATCATCGACAGAGGTGTGTGCTGGGAGCTGGAGCTTTGCCAAAGTCTCGGCTATCTCTGGTGTAGCGGGCGCATATTTATCGGCCAAGTACTGGAACTGTAAGAGCAGGTGACGAGTTAGTCACGGACAATGTATCAAGATGCAAGACGACCTCGAGGAATCTCTAGCCAGGCTAGAATGAAAAACGAAAGGGGGACAGTGCGGATCAGTGATAATCAGGTTGTCAATCCCGGCAGCATTGGCTGCTATTGATCTAGAGCTAATGATATCTCATCATGTTGGCAGTCCCCAAAAGGCTGTGTATATGCAAGGCTATATACAGTGATGTCGGAGAAAAAAGGAAAGAAAAAAGAGAAGAGCTCTTTTTTTGAGGCTTACCTGCTCGTGCGCAAAACGCAGCTTATGCTCGAGAATTGTCTTTCGGTCCGTCAAAACCTGAACCTCATCCGCAAGCGCGTTGAAAGCGTCCGCTACGGTCTGAGTAAGATGAAAATCTGCCATTCCGGATGGCTCAAGTTTTTGTGAGACTTGGCCACGAGAAGAAGAAGGAAAGAAAGAAAACAGAAAATGGAAGAGAAAAAACAGGGAGAAGAAAAAGAGGCTCAGAAGGCAAGGCCGGAGTTTTAACTGGCTGAAGCGGGGCGCGCTTTGGCCGATTGCGGGTTGCGGTGCCGCAAAAGCGCGTGACGAACTCGTGGGAATGATTCGTCAGCAAGGATTGTAGTTGGATGATGTATTTACTCCGTACTGATGCCTGTTTTCTGGACAATAAAAAGGTAAATAATACGATTTATGAAAGATGGACTGTCACCACATTGCTATGCAGAGCCACAGCTTCATAAAAGGTCCAACCTGGGAAGCATTGTGGTTTGGGTAAGGCTGGGGCAATTTCGGTTCGCTGGTTAACAAATATCAACGACATGCGGTACAGCGGGGCTGGATTTGAGAGCTTCTTTAGAGGTAGCTACCTATGTCAGTCACCACGGGTAGTGGTTCGAGATGTCAAGGAGAATGAACAGCCTCGCCCCGGACATGTTGGATTTCTTCAAACATCACCGCCAGTGGGAGGATGAACCATTTAGGAGGTGAATACCCCGAGACACTGGATCCCAATGTTTCGTCATTCCACACATCACACAGCCAACATGCCTCAAGCTGTTGGTCATGGTCCTCCTTCACCAGTAAGGGCCTCAGAGCCTGATTTCATTGCCTCGAGATTGAATCCCACGTATTCAATCACCCTCCATCAAGGTCCCGAGTTCGTAAGATTTGTGCCATGGCAGCAAGCACGCCGTCGGGAGAGCTACCAAGCAGACGATGGATTTCTTTTGATGGCTGGGATTACAATGGCATGAAGGAACGACTTCAGACAGCATTGGACAAAATCGACAAGAGCGCGCTCATACGCCATGGCTCGACGAATCCTTCAGCTCAGGCTGATATTTGAAGACAGCACATTGCCTTTAGACCTAGGTACCAAGCGTCTTCATATTTGAGCCTACTTTGTAGGCAAACGGGCTTCTTCAAGGAGAAACAGGAACACCACCAGCTTTGTAATTATTGCTAGACATTTCGAGATCTAGTAGGTAATCTGATCGAGAATCTTCACGGGATACCCTTGAATGACATCATTGCACAGTGAGTGGTCAACCACAGAAGATGCACCAGGCGCAAAGCAATCACAGCGACGAGGAGCAATGATTCACTGCGATAGATCTCTTTATAAGCCAGACCGTAGTCGCAATAACAACACATGTGACACACCTATGCACAGATAAGAATGCCTCAATACCTTAGGTACCTAGTAGAAGCGGATTCACCGTCAGCGGTTCGGGCTTATGGCTTGAGTCGGTACAACGGCCCAAAGTGGCCACATGCCGCCTACCAATGAGATAACACGGCCGCTTACACCCAATTTCTCCACCCCTCGTAATCTTGACAACCTTGGTGAATGGAGATAAGAATCCGTCTAAACATACAAACGGAATCTTATCCTAGGGTGAAGGCACGAGCCCTAATCATCTTGCAGTGAGGGAAAGCAGAGGTATATCATAGCACCATAGGTCAGTGCTTGCACATCATCAGACGTTGCTTTGGCGGGGTGAGGTTGATGGGTTTCCAAAGCCCCTCGCATTCACTCGTGTCCTCAATCTGCTCAAGCTCACCAACTTGTCTAGTTTCATCCTTTCACTGTTCTCACCTCAAAAGTCAACATCGCCACCATGCTGCAACGATTCGCCATCCCCGCGGCCAAACTGCTTCGCAGCAAAAGCCACATCGTCCCTGGCCAGCTTCTCGTCACCGAGCACTTCTTCCAGGTTCCTCTAGACTATGCCAACCCATCTGCCGGATCCATCACCCTCTTTGGCCGCAGTGCAACCAAGCATGAGGTCCCCATCTTCCCTCCCGACGAGCTTCCCACTCCCAAGCCATGGATCGTCTATCTTGAGGGCGGCCCGGGCTTTGGTAACCGAGAGCCTCAAGATCACCCCCTGACGCGCACCGCACTGTCTCGTGGCTATCAGGTGCTGTTTCTGGATCATCGAGGTGTCGGCCTGAGCACTCCTGTTTCTACAGCGATGCTTGCCCGGCTGCCTGGGGGAAATGGACCCAATGCCGTCGAGATCCAGACAAACTACCTGAAGCTTATGCGTCAGGACAACACCGTCCGCGACTGCGAAGCTGTCCGCAAGCTCCTAACTGACGGCTTGCCCGATCAAAAGGCCCAGTGGTCAATCTTTGGCCAGTCATACGGCGGCTTCATCGCCATCTCCTACCTGTCTCTCCACCCCGAAGGCCTGCGCGAGGTCTTCCTGACCGGCGGCCTCGCCCCAGTAGGTAAAACCGCCGAGCAGGTCTACGAGGCAACTTTCCAGAGAACCATTGAGCGCAACGCCGCCTACTACCAAAAGTTCCCGGACGACGCAGAGACCCTGCGCCAGATCGCGACGCACATCGAGAAGGAGGGCGGCCAGCAGGGCCTCCCCTTGCCCGGGGGAGGCTTCTTAACGGTGCCCCGTCTATTGACCATTGGCATTGCCTTTGGCGGCCACGGCGGCGTCGACCAGGTTCACGCCATCCTTCTCCAGCTCAAGGCCTCGCTCGACCAGTTTGGCTTCCTCACGCGAGCTTCTCTCGCCCCCCTCGAGACTTTTACCGCTTTTGACACAAACATCATCTACGCCATCCTCCACGAGGCCATCTACTGCGACGGGCCCGGCAGTGTTTCCAACTGGGCTGCCCACCGTGTCGGCCAATCCCTTCCGCAGTTCTCCTGGCTCAGCAGAGACAACGCTTCCGCCACTGCCCCCGGCCAGCCGCTCCTCTTCTCGGGGGAGATGATCTTTCCTTTCCACTTTGACACCTATCCGGAGCTCATCCCCTTGAAGGCTGCTGCCGAGCGGCTTGCCACTGCCTCTGACTGGCCGGCGCTCTACGATATCCAGCAGCTACACGAGAATGAAGTTCCCGTCTATGCAGCCTCTTACATCCCCGACATGTATGTGGACTACGAGTTTGCCAAGAACACGGCGAAATTGGTCAAGAACGTCAAGACGTTTGAGACAAACGTCATGTACCACAACGCTGTGCGCGCAAAGGCCGAGGAAGTAATGCAGAACTTGTTTTCCTTGCGAGATGATGTAATAGATTGATCTCTCGACCAAGAAAAGAAAGAAAAGAAAGATTGAATAGATGGCACAAGGGCCCGAGTTGTCACATAAACCGAAATCTCTTGTTCCGATGATACATCGCAGTCATTGAAATTCTCACTCTATTTTTCCCCACCCCTCCTCGCCTAAATATTCAGTCCATAGAATCAATGGAAATCGTGTACCAGGCATATTGCCATATCCACCGGCCCCCTTCCTCGCAGGACAAAGTGATAAGTACGCAAGGAATACAAAATGCTCATCGTCTCATTTTCACATTCATCAAGTCTCCATTATCAACAGCCAGTGTCCAACACCGCAACTCTCCTCCCCTGCATTTATTTCTTCTTGTTGGTCTTGCGTTTAACGGGCCTTCCTCCTTGTTGAGCGCCAGAAGTCTTCACCTTGCTCAGAGAATCCGTGCTCTTGCTAAGAATCTCAAAGTCCTCGCCAGCGGATTCCGAGCTTGGGGGCGTGTGCTGGGGAACGTCAGAGTCCTCCTCAGCGGTCTCGTCAGTCTCGGCGTTCACGCTGCCCTGAGGCAAGAAACGTCCGGCGGTTGACTGGAAGATCCAGACAGGCACGCGAACCACGGCGGTGTCCTTGAAGGTAGGCTGAAGAAGCTCATTCGGCTATGTAGATGTGCGCGTTAGCAATTGGCGTCCTCCGTCTGTAGTTTTTGAGAGGCTACTTTGAATACTTACGTCCAAAAGATACTCATTGACATTGCCTTCCTCATCTTCCTCCTCCAGAAAGACGTCTCCCTGAGAGTCAACCACGAGAATCTTTCCGTTTTCAGCAACGACTCTCTTGCGAACACCAGTAGGGGTGGGCGAGGCAGATGCTCCTTGCGCCGAGCTCTTTGCGCTCACAGCCTTGCGAGCCTTCCTGGATGAGGGCTTTCCATCGTCCTTTCGGGTCTCCTTCTCCTGCATGCGTCTCTCGCGCCTGTTCCTAGGCTGGGGCGGGGCAGCAGCTTCATCCTCTTCGGGAGCAGGGGCAGGGGCAGGAGGCGGCGTAGGCAAAGCATCGACGCCAGGAATTCCGGCGTCATTACCCCAGGCGGCGTTCCGCGCAAAGGTGACGTAGCGTTCCACAAACTCCTTTTGTCGCTTCCAGCTCATGTACAGCGCAAGGTAGTGGATGGCGCCTCCGCCCACGATGAAGACGCCCACCAAGACCGTTCCCAACCCAGGCCTGTATCGGTTGTAGTAGTAGTCGGTTCCCTTCCACAGCGGGAAGCCATTGGCGAGGAAATGGTCGTAGCGATCGCGCGAAGGGCCACGGAGGATGTTGGCGATGAGCGAGAGACGTGCCTGGCGCTCCGACGCCTCCTTGACGGCCTTGCGGACTTCTGCCTGCGAAGGCTTCTTGGAGGCGGGACCCTTCTTCTTGTCCGTCTTGGTCCTTTCGGCGACGAGCTGCTGCTTGACCTTGTCGGGGTGAAGCAGCCGTGACTTCTTGCGGTAGGCCTTGTTGATGTCGTCGAGCGAGGCGGAATTGGTCACGCCGAGGACGTCGTAGAAGTTGGCCGCGGGATCGGTTTCGTGCGCGGCAATCTCGTCGCGGATGCGGAAGATTTCACGATCTGGACAAGGCCGCCGATGATTCGTCAGTTGTGCAATTCAAGGCCAGCGTCTTCGCTGCTAACATGCTGCTCCGTACCTTCTTTGCTCCATGCTGCTGCCAGCGGAGTCAGCAGGGATAGAACCCCGACAACCAGATACTCGATCTTCATGACTTGCAAGGCTCGACTCGCTTACCCTTGCATTTACGAAGCCCAAGTTCCCAATTGTCGTGTGTTTTGGATTGTCGCAAAGTCTCCAAGGGGGGCGAATCGACGTGCTTTTATGTGGGACGGTGAGCAAGGCCAGATTTACGTGCCTAAACTTAAAAGACAGGTTGAGGACAGGGGAGGCTCGAGGTACTGTGCACATGCAGTCACCGCACTTGTCTGCAGCAAGTGATTGTACAAGGACTTTTTTTTTTTTTTGGCAACCCTACCCTGGATGGAAGCCCTTAATTCTTCTTTTTTCTAGATAAATCACGCCTGTGGCTTTGGCGCGTGTCAATTGACTGTGTTGTGCATGTTGAGCGAATCAATTGCAAAATTGTAAGAGGAAATTCAAGCTTTGACTAGGGGGTGGCTGGTCCGCAAACCCTCAATGCATAGGAAACGCCCCAACTGCCAATCGCCACGAAACTTTTGTATCCTACGGTTGGCGGTCTAGAATCAGGGTTGGATGATTGTAAGAAACTAGGTGGTGTAATATGAACCACGAGAAGAGGCAGTTAAGCCAATACAATTATACCAAAGATGATGAAAAGTTGTGGAGGGGGGCGAATAGGCGGCTGAAGACATCCCCTGTTCGCAATCCGGATGTTTTAGATATGCTGCGTTCAATGATTTTTGATGTGCAGATTGTCTAGTAGACAATGGTCCATGATGAGAACAGGAACAAAGCAGTGAGTAGGAGGCTGCTTTCCCTTTCTTCTCCTCATATGAGCGTACATAAAGGAGAAAAATAACATTACAAAGGATGATATGAAACAAACAAATGAACAAGAAAGCAGAATAGAACGGGTAAAAATGGCAAAAAAAAGAACAAAAAAAGAAACAAGCGAGTAGCAATTGCACGTTTCGATCGTGCGACCTCCGGGTTATGAGCCCGGCGCGCTTCCACTGCGCCAAATTGCTTTGTGAACTTGTTGGAACAGTAGACCACTAAAACTCTATATATACCTATGCCACACGCCAAGCGTACGACTCAAGCGCTTACATGGCGCAAAAGTTGAATATTTCTTTCAGAAGCCCTATTTCAAATCTTGATTTGGAATTTGTTCTTTGCCATCTGGGCTATTTCATACCTGACTCTCTCTCCAAGGGGTCTTAAGAAACAGGTGATTCGTAACGAAGCTGCGCTTACAGTATTTCCAACACAGTTTTATAGTGCACTGTACAAGATCTTGCTCGGCATCCCACTTAATGGCGTGGCACTTAGTTTACAAGCACGACAGAAGATGTCCATATAAACCATTTTCGTCTTTACTGTAAAAACGTGCAAGTCCCTAATCGGTATCTCTTCTTCAATCAAGCTTGAAATACGCCATCCATGTACTTTCAGCTTCACTCGGCTCGTACCGTTGTGTCACCGCGTAGATGATCTTGGGCCATTTCCCTGCAGCCCTATCTGTCCAAGCATGGCATTTCGCTAGGGCTATTTTCCTCTGTCGACCCTCTTTACGATGTACCGAGGCAGTCCCCATTCTTAATTAATACGCATACAGGCAAAGCGTCCCCATTAGTTATGCCAGATCTCTCCAAAATTAGCAACCGTCTGATTCCAAAGACACGAACCTAGCTGGTTAGTGATGGATTACTCATGCGGTCTTTTTGGGGACCTTTTGCCTCGTTTCGTTAAAACAATGTCCCAATCGTCTCATACCGGTCTGCCATCGGCGTCTTATCTGCATCTCCTGAAAAAGCGGCACTCCCATGTCCTCTGCTTATGAATCAGGATGGCGACTACCTGCATCGCCAAGTTGATATGGGTATGGCATGGGGGCGCCACACACCGAAACCCCACGACTCCACCAACTGCCAAATCCTGATGCTCCTTGACTCGAACGAATGCCTATATACTACGTATATATACCTAGTTTTGAAACCCGCCCGTCGTCTTTGCCATGCTCTCTCGAAGTAGTCGTTTCTTTGTAGCCACTCGTATTACACAAAAAGCCCGACATCTATCCAAAATGGCCCCTTCAGCTACCACCACGAGCCAAGTCCGTATAGGCCCATCTCCCAACCCGGACTGGAAATTCGGCCAGGGCAGCAACCATCTCAACGCAGCCTCGCCCTCATCCTCCCAACCAGACGAAAAAGCCCAGAGTCACACGCTCATCGACCCCCAGGCAGAGGATCGAGCCTCCGGCCTCACCAACTACAAGCTCCTCATCTCCGCCATCGCCCCCCGCCCCATCGCCTTCATCAGCACCCTCTCCGCCGACGGCACCAAGGCAAACCTCGCTCCCTTTAGCTACTTCAACGTCTTCACTCACGATCCGCCTACTTTTGCTGTCGGCTTTGCGCATCCCCCGAGCGGGCCAAGGGATTCCTTTGTCAATGTGCGCGACTCGGGGGAGTGTGTCATCAACATCATCTCGGAGCACTACATCGAGGCCGCCAACTCAACCAGCATAGACGCTCCTTACGGGACGTCTGAATGGGGCGTTGCCGGCCTGACAGCAGACTATTCGTGTGAGACCGTCAAGGCCCCGCGAGTCAAGGAGGCGATATTCAGCATCGAGGCCAAGGTGGAATCTATCAAGGAGATTGAGAGTAGAGCAAACCCAGGGAGAGTGTCCACCTGGCTGGTCATTTTTGAGGGGACTCGGTTCTGGGCAAGGAATGATGCACTGAGCGAAAAGAAGGATGAGCTGTACCCCGAAGTCTTGAAGCCCATTGGTCGCATGGGAGGCGTCATCTACTCCAAGACGACTGATCTTTTGCAGATACCAAGACCGCAGTTTGAGGCTGATCTTGGCGGTGCTGAAGGCTATGAGAAGCTCTTGAATGGGAACAAATAAACAACAAGTGACGCTGATTGCGCATAGGATTGTTCTAAAGAAAAGGAACATCACAGATGAATGAGCACAGATGAGTAAAGGCACCGCACGATAAAAAGAATTTATAAGAAAAGAATCAGCGTGTTATTCAAACGCAGTGGTATACAAAACGTGTTCGTCATATCAATCGTACTGATGACCTCAAACAAAGGCCGTTGCAAAAGATCGTCAGCAAAGACTCCCCTCCCAACCACCGTCCCGTAACCAAGGACTCCCTATAACCAGATGAAGTAAACATGAAAATGCTAGTAATTCAAGAGGGCGAAGAGAGAAAATCAAGTGAATCGAGAGGCATCAAAAGTAAAAGCTCTGGCCCGGTTTGGAAATGATAAACTCACAGCCCAGCTGTGCTCCCCGCTCATGCTCGTTCAGCTCCTTCAATATTGAGTCACCGGCCTGCGGCCCATCTGCTAGCGTCTCCTTGACGTGAATGATGACGACCTTGAGACCTTCGAGGGGCTTCTTTATAGCAGAATCAGCGGCGGCAGTAATGGCGGGCGTGAGCGGCGGTATCATCGAGCCATCAACCGCAAACTCGTCCAGTGATAGCTCCCCAGTAGGGGTGGCAATGTGCGGTGTCTCGGAGTCGGACTCTTTGGCGTTGAAATAATAATCGTTGGGCATGTTGTACGGATTGGCCGACTTGGGAGATACGGGGTCATCAGACCCGGGGCTCTGCATCGTCACAACCGGCACCTTCTTCCGCTGAACTTCGGCGTCCTCCTCGGCGTCCCGCTTGCGCTTCTTAGACTCAAGGGCACGGACCTTTCGTGCGGCCTCTACTTCGTTTGCCAGAACCTGCATCTCCTCGATGAGGTAGGCGGGTTTCAAGTGACCGAATAGCCGCTCGTCGGGCTGTGCGTCAGTGTAGCTGCACTCGACAAAGATGGCCGCCAACTTTCCGGATGCAATCTTGGGCGCCGCCTCTTGCCAGATCAGTAGATTCCGCGGGCTGAGAGAAAGGCTATCCGGCTCCACGTCTCCAAAAATGAGCACCTCACGCTCGTACGTTTCTTCCCGAATGAAGTACGCACTGGAGTCGTTGACGCAGGGCCGTGGTTCAAAGTCTCCCCCTCCTCCAAATATGGGCGTGGCCATGCCCTGGGGCATCAAGCTCTGGCGCCGTGAGAAGGATGTGGGAGGGTAAAGATGGTTGAAGGTTTCACGACGAGCGAATTGAGCCGCAAAGTCATGAGCATGCGGGTAGTAGGTATCACGTCGAAGCGGTATACTTGACCCATCCTGGCTACCTTGACGAGTCGGCGCTGGGTGGCAGAAGGAACCACGATGTGAATGCTTCTCCATGCAGTGGCCGTGGCTCACACTCCATGTCTTGACGAGCAACCCGTCACACACTTCCAGATATCCTTCGCCCAGCGCAGGACTTCCGCCCTCGACCAGTCGAAGATATGTCAGGAGACCGGCTCCATTATTTTCGTCACTAAGATTTGGCCATATGACATTGTTGAAGATGTGTTCCTTGAGAGCCTTGATAGTGCCCGGAAGGCCTGCTAGCTTCTTGGGGCGAGTACCGGGCAGGCCTGCCGTGTTGATAACAAAGGCAGAGATGTGGTCTAAGTGCGGGTGGGTGATGAGATAGGTGTCGACGAGGGTGCGAGTCACATGAGCAGCGTTTGCCGCAGCCGTGGTGAACGGCAATTCCAGGCCGGCAAAGGGACCGGTGGTTAGTATTTGGCGAGCGGGAACAGACGACGGCGTCGGTGTCGGCGGCGGCGACTCTGGCAAGGCCTCTTCGATGAGACGAGTGATGGCCGACAAGTGAACGCCTCCGTCAACGGCCACTATTGAACCCTTGCGCCAGTTCAATGGTACTGAGCGAACGAGAAACGCCGTTGTATTTGACTCTTGGGGACCTCCTCCCGAACCCTGTGTAAGAGTGAGCAATTATGCTACATCTGATGCGCATCCATTTGTGAGATGTTGTGACGGCTTCCAGTGAGTGCAGAACAAGGTGCATGGCATGCGTGTAAGCCGGAGCTGTCAGATGAGAGACGCTGCCCCACGATAAGCTGTGCCAATGGGGTAACGACTGTGGCCAGACAATAGCTGACCTGGCTAGACGTTTCATGCAGAGGGGTGGTTTGGCTGGCTGTCCCTTGATCTGGGGCACTGACCCCCTGGCGGCAGACGCATCCCGATCGGAAATGCCACGGCCAAATTACCCGATCTGCGCGCTCTCAATTTCGAGTCTGACGGAGCATCGCCTCTATGAGGAGGTGATGGGAAATGAGGTTTTATGAGAAAGTCATGGGGATTCGCGTATGGGGGATACGAGAAAAAGCAAGCAAGCGAGCACAAAATCAAAATGAGAGAGGGAGAAGAAGAAAAAAAGAAAGTAAGTTGGGAACATACCAATATGATTACCTGCAAAGCAGGTGATGACAATCCCTCCGTCATGCTCGACAAGCGCTGCAGGATTTGGTGGATTGCCGAGTCGCGATGGCCAAGTGATGCCGCGATAGTGTCGAGCCAGTCTGCAGATTGCGCGCAACGCTCAAAGCCGACGCCGATCTCCAATCCCAAACTCCAAGGGGCCTCCCAACACGAGACAAACCCCAGAAAATGTGAAGGGGCAGAAGTACCACGGCGGTTCTTTGAAGGCAAAGATTCAGAGAGGGAGTTCTTGATCTCGGCTTCTCCTTGGCCAGTGGCGCTGACGGACGGTAAAGGCTCCCACGTGACCGAGGCTGGACTACCGATTTCGTCTTGTTTCCCCCCACGAGGCGCTACTCGAGCTTGTTGCCCTGACTAGCCGGTTCGCTGAAGAAAAAGGAAATAAGATCAAGGTGAGATGTGAGAGTGGGTGAGCAGACGGAGCGAGGCAGTGGTGGTTGTTTTCCGAGGGGCGTGTGGGAGAAAGCACCGAGGCTCTCGTCTGCTTGATGGGGGAGGGAAGAGTCTAAAATATTATGGGAAAGATTGGGAAATTATCTCAGGCTCCCAAATAGTCGATGCTCCCCGGCGCCAAGGATCTTTTTTCTGGCGTTGCTTGGTTCGCAGATGTGTGCCGTGATACCAACATGTAATATGTAAATCGCCGAGGGAATGCAATGGCAGACGTGATGACGCTCTGCAGTGGGATATGTACGCACGTACGTATGTGGCAGGCAGGCTAGCCGGGAATCCTGCTTTCTCGTGCCTACTGCACTGCAGAGACACGAACGAACCTGGGGCTGGGCTGGACCAACCGCGGCAGCACGGCAGACAGCACCAGCAGAGAGACACAGACACTGTATCGCTTCACGGGCTCGGTATGCTGCTCGCTGGCTCGTCGACTTACGGAGCCGCCGATTCTACAGGGACGAGCCCGAGGACGAGGACTCGTACGTGGCACGGCACCAAGCAGAAAGACTTGTGACTGGTTCGTGATGAGCGTCGTCGTCGCGTGCCTGTGCTGAACTGAACTGTTTGCCCAGTCCCTCGCCCAAGATGGCCGTCGAGGGCCGACAAGCAGGATCACGGCTCGCCTTTTGAACCCACCCACGGGCTCCGATTGCTTGCGCCTGCGGCATCGCATCGCAGCGCTGCGGCGCAACGCAGCACAGGCTGTCCGTCCAGTCCGTTCGATGGTTGTTAGCGTCGTTATTGTCACCTCGTAGCGCGTCTAGTTTCGGCGTCGCCGCGATGCTGTTGCAAGGGGTGGAGGGGAGGGGGCGTGCGAAGAACAAGGAAAATGTGTGACGACTGGGAGGACAGACGTGGAGGACGTGGAGGCAGCTGTACAGAGGACCTGGAGTGCCCCAGGGTTGACCGGGACTTTGACTGTACCGGGTACTTTTAATTTGCTGCATGCACTGGTGGTACCTGGCAGGCACTTTACTTTACCTCTGTACGACACAGGTAAAGGTGAGGCGTACGATGCTCGGTGATACGCGCATCAAGGCAGCTTCACCATTTGCCCTAAATGAGCAACCCAACGGGAACTGAAATGTAACCCTTGCTCATGTTGCAAAAAAAGACGCCATTCCAGCGGGCTGGACCCCCAGCCTCGGGGCCGTGGGTTTGGGCGCTACTGCGGCTTTGCTTGCTAGGTTGCGCGCTCGATATATTGCACCTCACTTATAACATCGACTTTACATAGGTACTTGGGTGCAAGTGCAGATCCTTGGATGGATGGCATTTGTTCTCCTCGTCGTCCTTCTAAATGCAGCTATGCGAAGTACAAGTACCACGGGTATCTCATTACACTCTGTACGACACGGAGGCGCCTGGCCTCTCATTACCGGGCAAGGTAACATCCAACTTTACGTGTAAGATTAATTCTTCGTGCAAAGAGGCTTCGCTGAGATCAATGGCCTGATCAGGTAAGCACACTGCCACTTGACCTCCTGGATCTTCAACGATCAAGCCTGTTGGAGCAAGCGTGGCGGCTTTTAGCTTCTGAAAATCCGGGACTTGACAGTTACAGCACGGCACGAGGCCCCCCTCAGTCAACGGAAATGCACACGGTATGAACTCTATACGTAGTGAGTACCTAGTAGCGATATCCGGGCTACCTTGGAAACGCCTCTGCTGATTCCGAGTCTGACCTCCATGTCCCGCCGCAAAGAAGCGCCGTAACCGGTAACAATAGATACGGCAAGATGCCGACCTGGCATGTAAGCCGTCAAGGTATATCGTAGCAGCTGCATGTAGATACGAGAAGCACGCCTGTATCAGCAGTAGCGCCAACAGCAACCACTAACTTAGTCGACTGACGTCTTGCGGGAGCAGTTGTTTGATCAGCACGGATGGATCTGGCCTCGTTGGATCTCCAACATGCCGCTCCGGCCAGTAAAACGACTTCAAGCTACGCCGTACGTGCATTAACCCACCCGCACCCCGGCATCTTGTGGGGAGGCTGAGCTGCAACATGTCTCGCTGATGCAAGTGCTTGGGACAGCTAAAAACAGCACTGCTCTTTAGGCCCATCGGCGTTCGTCCGTCGAGCCCCAGGGACTTTGTTGGGTCCATGGGCTAAGCATCGCGATTCCCCATCACTGTATCCGTCGAGCAGCAGGCTGATACAGTATGAGATGCTTCACGTGAGTATTACTGGTATTATGTGTTGACAGGCCCCCCTGCAGTTGGCTTCAGCCTGATGGAGCTTGCATGTGCAAACAAGGACGCATTGACGGGACCCCAGAATAACCCCGAGCCAATGGTTTGCATGTGCGGGAGTTGCTTTCTTTGTAGTCCGTGGAATTGACAAATCTCTCACCATATCAATTATTCTAAGCGACTTACAGCCATTGTTGGGGATCATGGCGAGATACGGAGGAAGCACATCCATGTATTCACCTACTTGGTTCTTAGAGTATCTCCCCATGCCGTTGTCAAAATGTTATCGTAACCAGTTCTATCACTATGGAAATAAACAATCAACAAAATGAAATGAATAAGGAAATGTCTATCTGCTACATACGAAAATCCATCAAACCACTCATCTAATCCAAAACCTCTATCTACTCTTACATACAAAACGCCCTCTAACGACTCCTCTAATCCATGCATAACAAGTTGCAAGCGCAAGCGCTGCTTATTTCAATCCATACCATTGAAAACACGTGCTGATCCCACACCACCTTTTTAGAACCCATGCGCCCAAGTGTGCAATTGCATGTACTCGTACATGTATATTCCCAAACCCCTCCTCCACATAGCAGAAATGTCAAACGGCTTTCCCAGTGAAATGACAGGCATGTGCCAACAATTCCTGCTGCTACTAATAGACACGAGCAACAGGCAGAAAGCAATGCAATAAGACGACAAGGGCCCCTGTCGATATTGCGTCCCGCTCCCATGGTAAGCAGCATCACGCAGCATCAAGCCTCAGTTCACGTCCTGCTGTAATCACCATCGAGAAGAGCAAGCCAATCGGACTTTGACAACCTGAGAAGAAGCTCCCCATATAACAATAGTTTGAAAGCAAGGCGGGGCGAGCTTTACGTATAAGTATATGCGGCTATCAAGTTTCAAGTTTCAAGTTGTGACGAGAACATCTTTGCTAACTTGTCTAGATGTGTGGGTGACGAGCGAATCGGAGACGCCTTTCGGTCCCCCTCCCTCAGTATCCAGCGTCAGGCGAGCAGACAACAATGTACAACACTGCGTCCGCCTGCCTGTTGTGTGGAACATGTCGTCCCGCAGACTCTGTTGTCAGCTCACAAGACTGTGCCGGTAACAACTTGCGAATGCTCGGGGTTTCCTGTGGCTCATGCCAAGCAAAGTCGATACTCGCCTCATCTTGTCCGGCTACCTTGACAACCGCCAACGCCCTCACGTTCCTTGTCCCGGAGAAGCTAATTGCACTCATATGCTCTTTTCGGCGAGAGGGCATCCCATTAGTCTGCCAGCTGGCCACAAGCTAGGCCCGTGTCTGCAAGTCAACGCCAGCCCAAAGTGCTCTCCACCTCGGGAGTGCCGATGCAGCTCTCTCATGGGCCTTATCGGGGGCTGCAAGGGCCCCCTCGCCAACACCGCCCGAGGAACTGCAAGTGTTGATCTAAAGAGGCGTGCCTCTACAATTGTGAGGTATCCGTGCGCCGTCTTTTGTTGCCTTGCCTGCTTTGCGTGCTCGAGCTGGGGCTGAGATTCTTCCGCTTAAAGCGGGCCACTCCGGGACTGCTTACATGCTGTACACTGACGCCAGTAAGAGCTGTGGCTCTCTCACCACCAATGGGATTGGTGATTGTAAAGAATCTGCCCAGAGGAGAAAGACCAGCACCATTAGCACCGCCAAAATCCAGGAGGCTATCCCAAGATGGTGATGTAGCTGTGACCCGCGGGCTCACGGCACCGTCCATGAGTCCTAGAGGCTGAGATGCATCTGTGCCCGTTAGTGCGTGGGCCGTAAATGCACCATTCGCCTCGCTTCCAGCTTCTTTCTGGTGTTGGCTACTCTCCAGCTCAACCTCGGATATCCTAGGGTCAATGAGAAGATCAAAATCTACCTCCCCGCGAGTCAGGATACTCCCTCGGTGTGAGTCAAAGAAGCCCATATTGCTGCCGCCTACAGGCAACTGCAGGGTTCCTCTTTTTGTCTGAGTAAAGGCGTCACGCTTTATTGAGCGGTTCACAGAATATGCGTGATGTTGTTGAAACTGCGTTATGATCGGCCCAAGGCCCGAGCGAGGGTGCGTTTGGGTTGCCCTGTTGAGCCTTTGTCGCATACCACTCTGAGAGTAGTTGTGATTAGACACGTCCATGTGACTATTCTGAGGGTAGTTGGGGAATGTGCCCGCTGCGGTGATCGAGGGTCGAATAGTTGACGGCCTTGTACTCAGGGGATCAAAATAGCTCGGCGGCTGCCTGCTGTTCATGCTTGGGTTGAATTCAGGATTGAACTGATATGTATTAGAATCCTGATTCTGGCTATCAGGGGAAGAAAAGCGTGATAGGTATGACTGCGTCTGCCGTGCGGAGATCCGTCCCATTCTATGACCTGAAACCTCTTGCACATTTCCATCAGCTAAAGAGCTTCCCCTTGGTTGATATGATTCGCGCGAGAGCGATTCCCCTCGATTTAGCTCTGGAACCCAGTCCACAATGCCGCTTTGTGTTGCGTTCATCGTTGGGCGTGTGCTAGTAAGTACCCATTGTTGTAAAGAAGAATTGCTCAAGCCATCGGCGTCTTCGGTGTTGGCCCTTTCAAGTTTTCTGACCTTCTTCGTCCTCCTGACTCTATTCGTGGCTTCAACAAACATTTTCAGATCGCCCATGTGGACATCAATGGTCCTGCGCTCGCCCTCAGTCTTGGTAACGTTTCGTTTCGATCGTGCCTTTTGCCGGGCTGCCGTCTGGTTGTCTAGATGATACTTGGTCAGCCGATAAGACAGAGAGTCGCGATATTCTCGTGGCTGCTGATAGGGGCTGAACATTCTCTGCTCAAACCAGGGCTGGTAAGCCTCCCTTATGATGCCCGCATCAGTCAGCTTTTCCAGCGTCACCACGCTCTTATCCTCGAAAGGAAACTGTCTGTCTTCGGGGCGCAGACGGCCAGATAGATGAAACTCCAAAGGGTTGAAAATCTGCTCAAAGCAATATAGATGGAGCGAGCCAGCGCACTTCAATGGATCCCGGACTCCACTGGAAGTCAGGTGAGGGAATTCGTCGAAGGCTACACGAAGCCATCCCGCCGTGATGGTTCTGTTGGCGACGGGGCAGTTCGCCCAGCGACAGATCCTGTCCTCGGGCTCCAGTCGATGATTGCACTGCGTGGGGGCTTGCTGGACCCAAAAGACGGTGTCCTTTCCACAGTTGTCTGCGTACTCTCGAAACTGCTGTTTGGTGAAGCAACGGTCACGCAACCACTGTCCCTTTGGGGTGTAGCTGAACAAGTGCTGTCCGTTCCAAGACAGACTGCCCCATGGGGTGATTTTGGCGGGATCCGATGCATAACAAAGAGATGGGTCGCAGCTCGGATCACCTCTTTTCTTTGCGGCTCTGTTGAGGCTAATCTTTCGGCTACAAAGGGAAGATGGATTCGTTTCTTTTGTGCTGGCGGGGGTTTTGTGAGTGTTATAATTAGATGTAATTTGTGGGCTTGGATCGAAGCCAAAAACGTTGTTGCTGTAAGGGGTTTCGGCGGCCGAACGCAGAAGTTGCCTAGGCTGTTGAAGAACCTGGCGGCCATATGGCGGAGAGATGGTGCGAGTGGCAAAGTTGGGGGACGGATATGAGGACAGTGGGTTATCCTGAAGGCTTTGTTCTGGGTATTGGTCAAAGTGAGAATCTGAGAAATTGTATACTGGGGGTTGCTGGCCGAATGGTACCAATAGCTGGTTGCTATTCTGTGAAGGGGAGGCGTTATTCTCCGGAATCCCGATATGTGGGAATGGATTGCTGGATGGACCCCTTCAACAAATTATTAGCAATTGAATGAAGAACGATACGACGTCCGTATTGTATAATTGTACTTACGGTGCCATCCAGTCAAGGGAAAGATCAATATTGAGGGTGTGTTCCTGTGTCATTGCCGCATCGGGGTTAAAGGGATCTGTAGCAGTCAGGAAATCCAGCGTTTCGGGATTCATTCCTGACTGTGATTCGGCATATACTTGCTCCGAGAAAGAGATTGGCACGAAATCTTGGCCGTCCAAGTTGACCGTGTCTGTGATTTCAGGGTGCCATGTGTCTAGGAACTCGGTATTGGCGTGCTGAGAGCCGTATGAGTCGGACATGTTCGGTATGCTGTCCCTGATGTTACGTAGAAGAAAATGATATGGTAAAGAGTTTCAGTATTGTGTTCAGATGAAGAAGAATTGTCAGATGTTGGTGTCAGTCGAGATGGAATGCAGATTGTGTTCGTATCAAGTAAATTATACGGGGAGAAGTAGACCATATTTAAGTTCATGGCACGAGCTCACCACCGAGTTTCGAAACATCAAGTTTTGAAACATGAGGACAAGTGAACAGATGAATTCATTGTTCCCAATGACTTGTTTATTTGTTGTAGAATTATTCTAGAAGAGTAGAACAGATGAAACAAAGTTGAAAGGATCCGCTGAAGAAATCTGGACAAAGAGCAAGGCTAAAGAAAACGTTGGCATATAAAGAACATTTACCCCGGATTCACTGAACAGGAGATATTAATAGCCGAATGACCGAACAGTTTCAGGACCTGAAACCAAGTATGAAAGCCTTCATCATAATGAAACATTGACTGAAAGCCGCAACTACAATGACAGAGTTTTGTTCTGTGATTGCGCCTTGAACAGCAGCTATGTTGAACGCTTATCATGTTGAATGAGAACCCACAACTGAGTAGAAAGAGAAGAAGAGAAGAGAAAAGAAGAAGAAAGAGAGTGGGGGACAGTTCTATTTTTGTGACGGATCCTTTCGGAGAAACAGTGCAAGGACAATCATAGCGACAGTCTCTTTGACTTGCATGTTCTTTGACCTGATATTGGTGTTTTTTTGGTGCGTATTAGATTTCAATGACTTACCCAGAGGTTCATGCTAGCAGGATGCTGTCAATGTGCAAATATGAAATATGAAATATGAAAGCAGTGCTATTTTTATTCGCCTGGAAATGAAAAATTGAATGCAGCATGTCGGTTTGTTCTGACCATCAACTGAATGTGGTATATCGCTCATGCACGATAGCATCGCGATAGTAAGACGGCAACTCGTGTCTGTACCGTTGTGGTTTCTCACGGCCAGGGTTAGTAGATAGGCGTCAACGAGAGATAAATCCATGGCACCAGATACTATAATTAATTCCCTGCCCATTTTATACGAGAGCATCATGTGAACCTCTGCAGCCGTTCCCTCGTATATGTAACTTGCCGGTGCTATTCACCGCATTACAGCGCTCTCTTCCGAGCACGGAATGTCACAGTTTGAGCATTTACAGGCGCCAAATTCAGAGATAGGTAGGGAGATGCCGGGGTTACCGGGAAAAGAGTATTTCTCCGCAAATGGAGAGAAAATATACTTGCAAGGCCACCGCAAACGGCGCAAAACAGCCGGTATCATCTCTTCGTGATCTTCATCCAGCATTACATAAGACCTCGTGTTCGCGCGTTCGACATTTGCCTAGCTCGGCCTAGCGAAGCCTCTGCCCTGGCAATTCTGTGCTAAGCAGCGCTACCTCATAGCGGTTGGCCAACCGCTAAAAGACCTGGAGCAGCCCCTCGTTTCTCTAGGTGAGCAATGGCTGCAACAAGCTCGCCGTTAGCAGCAAGCCGCCAAACTACCTAGAAACCTCAACATCACGAGACTCGCGCTATTGGTGAGTCTGGGTATGGCGAAGCGCCAGTCCCTCGTCTTCAGTCAAGCATAAGTGCTGCGCAAGTGTCTGACCAGCAGCGCGCTGTTTTGCATCATGGCGGAATACAATCCTGAGCTTCGGGCGAGGCTCGCGGAGCTGGACCGCGAGTTGGAGGTAGGTTGTCCGCCAGAAGCCTCTACAGCCCTCTCACCATGACTTTCAACATAAACATTGGGCTGACGATGTGGTGCGCAGGAGGGCGATATTACTGAGAAAGGGTGAGCAACAGGCTTCAGACATGCTGGCGATGACATCAGCGGAGGGGGCGGATCGCGAACTGACAAAGAACGTTGCAGATATCAGAAGCGGCGGACAATGCTGCTTTCGCAGTTTGCTCACCATCAAGCAGCCCCGGCCCCGGTTCCTCCGCAGTCTCGCTCCGGCTTGAGCATACACTCTCCCGAGACCTCGACGCATCCCTCGAGCGATGGCCGACGAGCCTCTGTCATGACCTCGACGTCTGTGGGCGGTGGCTACGGAGGTGGATACGGTGCTGGAGGCGGTTATCACGACCAGAACAGCAACTATGGCGATTATGCGCAGCGCCCCGACTCAAGCTATGCCGCTCCGCCACCGGGCTCTTCGTACGGGCCCTCAAACCCTTCGCCAGCCGACCTCTTACGCCCCGGAAGACCGATGGCCGATAATGCCGTTATAGCACAGCGGGACTCGCTTTTCTTGCCAGGGGGCGGCAATGATCCTCCCACGCGAAGTGGAACTATGGTTTCTGGAGACTATGCCTTTAATCCCGACCAACACGGTGCATACGCCGAATCATACCACCAGCCGGACGACGGCAGAACCAGAACGCTGCTTGATAACCAGGCATACTTTTCGGATTTCGCAGGGCAGCAGCACTATGAACAGAATCAGATGGGCGACTATGGCGGAGGTCCGAGATACTCTGGTGACGCCTTCTCTCCAACGGCCGCCATGGCGCCTCCGATGCTCACTGCCAACGATATGCCACCGCCCGAAATACTGGAATACCAGGCTCCGCTTGAGCCAAGAGAAGTCCCATTTGCCATTCAGGACCCTCACGATAACAATACGCCCATGTCATCATTCGACAACATGGCCGCAGTGCTCCGTCATCGTGCCCGCACTACTGCTAAAAGGCCGGCATTTTGGGTCCTTGATAGCAAGGGCAAGGAGATGGCGTCCATCACATGGGATAAGCTTGCGTCAAGAGCCGAAAAGGTGGCACAGGTCATCCGAGATAAGAGCCCTTTGTACCGTGGCGACCGAGTAGCCCTCATATATCGCGATACTGAAATTATCGACTTCGCCATCGCCTTATTAGGCTGTTTTATTGCTGGAGTAGTGGCAGTTCCAATCAATGACTTGCAGGACTACCAGCGGTTAAACTATATCCTCACCTCTACGCAAGCCCATCTGGCCCTCACGACGGAAAACAACCTCAAGAATTTCCAGAGAGACATTACCACGCAGAAACTCACGTGGCCTAAAGGAGTCGAGTGGTGGAAGACCAATGAGTTTGGCAGTTACCATCCAAAGAAGAAGGAGGACGTGCCCCCATTGACCGTTCCAGACTTGGCTTACATTGAGTTCTCTCGTGCTCCAACCGGCGACTTGAGGGGTGTCGTTCTTAGCCACCGAACAATAATGCACCAGATGGCCTGTCTAAGTGCTATCATCTCTACTGTTCCTGGCAATGGCCCCGGCGATACTTTCAACTCTTCCCTACGAGACAAAAACGGAAAGCTCATCGGTGGCGGAGCAAGTAGCGAGATTTTGCTCTCTTATCTTGATCCTCGACAGGGAGTCGGTATGATACTTGGTATTTTGCTGACTGTTTACGGCGGCCACACAACCGTCTGGTTTGACAACAAAGCCGTTGAGTCCCCTGGCCTCTACGCGCATCTGATTACCAAATACAGGGCAACCGTCATGATTGCGGACTACCCAGGGCTCAAACGGGCTGCCTACAACTACCAGCAAGACCCCATGACGACACGAAACTTCAAAAAGGGGATGGAGCCGAATTTTCAGGCAGTGAAGCTATGCTTGATTGACACTCTTACTATTGATAGCGAGTTTCACGAAGTTTTGGCAGATAGATGGCTGCGGCCCTTGAGAAATCCGCGGGCGCGCGAAGTTGTGGCCCCGATGCTCTGTCTTCCGGAACATGGTGGAATGATTATCAGCGTTCGAGATTGGCTCGGCGGCGAAGAGCGGTTGGGAGTTCAACTGAAGCTAGACGACTCCGGCAAGGAATCTGATGGTGAAAAAGAAGAGGAAGAGAAGCCAGCTCCATCAAACGGATTCGGCAGTCTGCTGGGCGGTGGAGCAGCAACTACCAAGGAATTGGATGAAAAGATCGAGTTAGGAGAGGTCATCCTGGATCGGGAGGCTTTAAAGACCAACGAAGTCATTGTTATCGCTCACGGCAACGAAGCTCGAAAGAAGACCTCATTGGAATCCACCATGGTCCGAGTTGGCGCTTTTGGATACCCTATTCCAGATGCTACGCTTGCCGTTGTGGACCCCGAGACTGGCCTTTTGGCAATTCCGCGGTCGGTTGGTGAGATATGGGTTGATTCGCCATCTCTCTCTGGAGGCTTCTGGGCGCAACCCAAGAACACGGAGCTCATTTTCCACGCACGCCCTTACAAGTTTGAGCCTGGAGAGCCAACACCAACTGCCGTGGAGCCAGAGTTCCTGCGGACTGGCCTTCTTGGTACAGTGATCGAGGGCAAGATTTATGTTCTGGGTCTGTACGAGGACCGAATCCGGCAAAAGGTTGAATGGGTTGAGCACGGCCACGCGGGTATCGCTGAGTATAGGTATTTCTTCGTTCAGCACATTGTGGTGAGCATCGTCAAGAATGTCCCCAAGATTCATGACTGCTCTGCGTTTGACGTATTTGTCAATGACGAACACTTGCCTGTCGTGGTTCTCGAGTCGGAAGCAGCGTCAACGGCGCCTCTCACTTCAGGCGGCCCACCTGTGCAACCTGACACTGTCTTGTTGGATTCATTGGCAGACAAATGCATGGAGATTCTTATGCAGGAACATCACCTTCGGGTTTATTGCGTTATGATCACAGCCCCGAACGCGCTTCCGCGAGTCATCAAGAACGGGAGACGAGAAATTGGAAACATGTTGTGTCGGCGCGAGTTTGACCTAGGAAACCTTCCCTGCGTGCATGTCAAATTTGGCGTTGAGCATGCAGTTCTCAACCTCCCTATTGGTGTTGATCCAATTGGTGGTATCTGGTCACCGATCGCCTCCGAGTCGAGGACAAACATCCTGGCTCCGGCTGATAAGCAGTACTCTGGAATTGATCGCAGAGAAGTTGTCATTGACGACAGAACGTCTACACCGCTCAACAACTTTTCGTGCATCACTGATCTCATCCAATGGCGAGTCGCTCGCCAGCCAGAAGAGCTTTCTTACTGCACCATTGATGGCAGGGGCAGAGAGGGCAAGGGAATTACCTGGAAGAAGTTCGACTCCAAGGTGGCTGCTGTGGCCATGTATCTAAAGAACAAAGTCAAGGTACGACCAGGCGACCATCTGGTCCTCATGTATACGCACTCGGAGGAATTCGTGTATGCCGTTCATGCGGGAATCAACCTTGGTGCAGTCATCATACCAATGGCGCCGCTCGACCAGAACCGGCTGAATGAAGATGTCCCTGCTTTCCTGCACCTGATTGCCGACTACAAGGTCAAGGCGGTTCTGGTCAACCAGGATGTGGACCATCTGCTCAAGCTCAAGATTGTCTCGAGCCACATCAAACAGTCGGCCCAAATTCTGAAAATCTCCATGCCAAATACCTACAACACTTCGAAGCCTCCTAAACAGAACAATGGTCTTCGAGAGCTCGGACTAACAATAGATCCTGCTTGGATTCGACCCGGTTATCCTGTTCTTATCTGGACATACTGGACACCGGATCAACGAAGAATTGCCGTCCAGCTTGGACATGACACAATCTTGGGCATGTGCAAAGTGCAGAAAGAGACTTGCCAGATGACGAGTTCGAGGCCCGTACTTGGGTGCGTACGAAGCACAACAGGACTTGGCTTCGTCCATACTTGCTTGATGGGCATATACGTCGGCACTCCTACGTATTTGCTGTCTCCTGTTGAATTCGCTCAAAGCCCCATATCCTTGTTTGTTACGTTGTCAAGATACAAGATTAAAGACACGTACGCAACGCCACAGATGCTTGATCACGCCATGTCGTCGATGCAAGCCAAGGGCTTCACGATGCACGAGCTCAAGAATATGATGATCTCTGCGGAAGGCCGGCCGCGAGTAGATGTATTCCAGAAGGTTCGGATGCATTTCGCGGGAGCCGGGTTAGATCTAACGGCCATCAATACCGTCTATTCTCATGTTCTTAACCCGATGATTGCCTCAAGGTCGTACATGTGCATCGAGCCCATTGAACTCTGGCTTGACACCAAGGCTCTTCGACGCGGTCTGATCGTTCCGGTCGACCACGACACAGACCCCCAAGCTCTCCTGCTGCAAGATTCCGGCATGGTCCCAGTGTCTACCCAGATTGCCATTGTCAATCCCGAGAGCCGTACACATTGCTATGATGGAGAGTACGGAGAGATTTGGGTTGACTCGGAGGCGTGTGTAAAGGCATTCTACGGTTCGAAAGATGCTTTTGACGTGGAGCGCTTCGATGGCCGGACAGTAGACGGCGATCCTAATGTGCGATATGTGCGAACTGGCGATTTGGGCTTCTTGCACAACGTCAACCGACCCATCGGGCCCAATGGCGCTCTGGTGGAAATGCAAGTCTTGTTTGTGCTCGGCAGCATCGGTGAGACTTTTGAGATCAACGGTCTCAGCCATTTCCCCATGGACATTGAGCTCTCGATAGAGCGCTGCCATCGCAACATTGTATCAAACGGCTGGTAAGTTGTCTCATCTAACTTGATTTAATATCTAACATGAAAACAATCATGGCTAATGAATTCATATATAGTGCGGTGTTCCAAGCCGGTGGGTTGGTTGTAGTCTTAGTCGAGGTGAACCGCAAGTCCTATCTTGCCTCCATAGTGCCTGTCATCGTCAACGCCATCTTGAGCGAACACCAAATCGTTGCCGATATCGTGGCCTTTGTAAACAAGGGCGACTTCCCAAGATCTCGTCTGGGAGAGAAACAACGCGGAAAGATACTTGCCGGCTGGGTTACGCGAAAGATGCGCACCGTGGCTCAGTTTGCCATCCGAGATCTCGACGCCAGCGTGCTCGAGCCAGGTGAGGGACCGGAGGGCAACAGAACATCTACGGGTAGTCTCCGCAGCTTGGGCGCTGCCGTCCCACCCAACATGAGAAACGTCGGACAGGCACCACAGATTCTGGAACAGGAGGAGTTTACACAGCAGATGGATCATATGGCCCATGCGGAAACTGTTGCGTATAATACTTCTGCACAGGAGGAGCCACAAACGCCGACAGCTTATTACCCCGGTATGGAACGTAACCAAGAAACTGCATCAATGCACAACTACAACCAGAATCCGCCGGCGTCAAACAACCAAGGATATGGCTATAATCACTTTGAACAGGGGCATCCAGCACAGCCGTCGCAGCCTCCACCTCCGCCACCACCGCAACCGCGGCAGCAACACTTTGAGCCGGCGCAACACTATGAACAGGTGGAGAAGAGGCCGTTCAATTCCAGAGGAACTGATGCTCCGTCTGTTGCTGAGCAAGAGTTCTCCTCCCCCGTGCCAAACACACCGCCGCCCAGGAGAAACAGGTTTAGTCAAGGGCCGCCTCAGATCCGGCTGCCGGGTGTCGATGGACGCGAAGGTCTCGACTTTTGGGGAGATGACAATGATGAAACGGATTGGACGACTGATGCCATGATGCACATGAACCTCACGGGGGCATTTAGCAATAATAATCCGCGGTAGTCGAATTTACAGCTTTTTTTCGTCGGGGGTTGTAGATGGAACGAGCCTCCTTTTTTTTCTTTCTAGAGAAGAAGAAGAAGAAGGCTGGTTTCTTAGAACTCAAAGAGCGTCAAGAGCATTGGGGAAGAGGATACACTTGGAGGAGTTGTTTGGGAATCTTCATATGGTGCATTGTTTATTATTGTGGTATTCGTTCCCGTCCCGTCCTGTCCTGTATTTGAGCTTGGATGTAGGAATTCTCGTATAAAACTAGTTACTATTAGGAGGCGGTTGTGTCTGAAATGGAGGTTGCACTGCACATTTATTGATTACTCAGTCCTTGTTTATGAGATGTGATGTTGGCTATGTAGAGTACTGGTTGTTATATTATCTGTCTGTTTGGTATACACAAACCCTCTCCCTAATCTTTCGACATCCACGTTCTATTCCGAACAGTTATAATACCACACGAAGGAAATTAACAGAACATGTAGTACAAAGAGTCTATCCATCTCAGAAACCCATGCGTATCCAGACCACACACAAAGGAAGTAAAAGAAAAAGAACAGAGAACCAAATCCCCAACCCGCCCCAATTTCTATTAGTCTATCACCTCCTCATCCTCTTCTCCTTGTCCAAATCGGACAAATACCGCTTTATAATCCCTATAGCCTCGGCTTCGACATCCTGCCCCTTGCGCCACGTATACAGCGCCACGCCCAAATGATCAAGTTGATCATGCGCCCTCACCAAACGCCGTCTCCAAAGCTCGAGCTTCTTGTTCACCGCGCCCATAGTAGGCGATCCCGAAGGCGAAGTGTTTCCGGATCGGCTGCTTGGGCGGTAGAATGATAAGCCAGTAGCCGCGGGCACAGGTGCGAGCGATGGCGGCAGCGGATCAAAGTCGACGTCTGCGTTGGATGACGAGCCACGAAGGAACGAGGCCATTCGTGGGCTGAGGTTCTTGGTGCTCCGGCGCGGCGGAGGGGGAGGCGGTTTGTCGGCCGTCTTGGTGGACTCTATTGTCTGCTGGGACGAGTTCTGTATCTGTGCCAGCGGGTGGACCGATTGGTTGCCGCCGCCTTGGCCGACGGGTTTCCTCGGGGGCGGCGGCGGTGGTTCAGGGCTGTTATTTGCACCAGCCCCCGATATCCCAAGGCCCACGGACGCTTTCCTGGCGGTTGGCAAGGTGGGAGCGCTGGCTAGAGCCGCGGGCTTGGCTGGGCGAGGCGGCGGCGGCGGTTTTCGAGCAAGCAAATCTGTTGCGCTGGCTGACGGACCCGGTCTTGATTTTCTGATTTGCTCCAAGGCTGCGGCTTCATCTAATTTTGCTTCTTCAGGCTCATCGGAAAAGTCTATCAGAGTACCCATTACTGGTCCGGAGGGAAGCTTTGAATCACCAACTGAGCCCACAGCTGAGCTTTGCCGTGTTGCTGGCCGATTGTTTGCAGGGCCGCCGTTGTTCAAAGTCAAGCCAGACATTGTGCGTCGATTCATTTCGAACGATGGCTCAAAGTACCCCGCCGTTTCCGGAGTCGTCACGTCTCGAATAAAGACTGCGAGGATTCGCTCAGGATACGCCAGTGCCAGCTCTGTGTACACTTCCAGATCGGCCTCTCCGCTGTCGCCAACCAGGAGGAACTTGCGCTGCGGGAAGTCTCGCAAGAGGCGAACGAGGGTGTTCTTCTTTCGCTCTGCCACAGGCTCAAAGATGCCCTGCAACATGCCTGAATACTGCTTCAGATGTAGAGACCCGATTGGAAGTCCGGACACCCTGAAGAAGGTGGCTAGCATAGGAAACAGCTGCCATGGACTATTGGAGCAGTAATGCACGCTCACACCCAGTCCTTGCATCTGGCCGTACCATTCTTTGACTCCTTCAATTGAGAGATCAGCCAGCTCACGGACAAAAGTGTTTCTGAAGATTTCTCTTGCCCCCGCTGAGATGTTCGACATTTTAACGGTGTCGTCGATGTCGCTGATGAGGCTGACACCGTATGGTTCAATGTAGTTAACCTCTTGCGTAGTCGAGAGGCCTTCCTTTACTAGCACCCTAACATGTGTAGGAACAAAATCTAGAGGCGCTCGAATAGCAAAATGACCGGCGTCATCTGTGAGGACGTTTCGTGATTGGGATTTCGATTCATTATAAAAGAATATTGTAATGGGGAGGGCAACCAAAGGATTGGTCATGAAAGGTGCTATCCTGGCCATCAAGTTGTCGTTTGCAGTCGTCAACTCGGCTTCTGTGAGCTCGTTGGCCAATGCCGAGTTCTGTCTAGTCGGAGGAGGTTTGGGACTCCCCGAGAGCGAGTCGGGCGTTCGGCTATCTGCTCGAGTTGGCAACGGCCTAGGCAAAGGGTAGGCAGGCCCTCCAAAACTGGTATCTTCACGGGGCTGCTCGCTGTAGGCGCCAGCGTTTGCTATGCGCTTCTCTTCCCGCCCCCTACGCTCAATCATAGCAGCTTCTTGCGCAATCTTCTCCTGCTCTCTTAGTTCATCGTTCGGGTTAAGAGGCGCAGTAGCTTGAACCGGATCTGCTCTTGGGACGGGGATGCCACTGAGCTGGCGCGCGAGTCCGATCAAGATGCGATTTCGCCGCGTGATAGGGCCGGTATGGGGAAGGTATATCCAGCCACGAACATCGACATCTACAATCGCTCTCTCGTCCTGGTGTCTCTCCCATTCTGATCGCCAGTAGTCTTCGTCCTCCAAGTTGCCGGCTTCCGACTCGTACGCAGAGGGTCGTGCCCATTCCTTCTTGGTATGTTGCTTCGCATAGCTTGGGAACATGATCAATTGCTCGCCGCTCCCTTGCGCTGTCACGGCCACATCTGGGAACGCACCCGGAATATGCATGCTACCGGGTGAGTCGAACTCGCCATCCAGGCCCCGAGCCCTGGATTGGGCATAAGTCTCCCTGATCTCGGTGACGGCGATCTGGCCGGTACGATAGATATTGCCAGCCACAGCTCCAGCTAGAGCAGCGAACCGCTTCCGTCGGTAGCCCCTCTCGCCCCTGTCAGCATCTCCCGTCTGCGTGTCATTGATCCGAGGGCCATAGCCCATCTCCCCCGGCGGTGGCATCTTGAGTTGTCTAAGTGGTGATGTAGTCGGTCGCACTGTCACATGTTTGATCGGCCGCCGTCCCGAATGCCCCTGCAGCAGCCGTTGGCCGTGCCGAACGAATTGATTAACGGCTCGTCGCTTGCTCTGTCGACCAAGTATGTACCGGTATATACGGCTCTGTATGCGATGCTTGAGCTTCGGAAGGGTGTTGAGGCGAAAATTGAACAGTCGCTCTCGGTAGCGATCTCGGACAGCGCGTGGTAATAGATTTCGAATAAAGCTTTGGCTGTGGCGATGCAGCGTTCGAGGTCGAACAAGGCCGAAGAGTTTCCTGAAAGGAGCCAGCCTGGTCCGGGGTTTGCAGTGACTAATCAGACAGGGAAAGGTCTCCCCAATCCGAGCCGCCTTTTATAGATATAATATTCCGTACGGCAGAGCCAAAAGCCGGCAAAGCCAATGCGCTGCCGGCAAAGGCGCAGAGAGGAAGCTCCAGGCGTTGTTCGAGCCTCTCAGGCGAGCCAGTCTTCTGACAGCTGTCGGTTGCTCCCTGGATTCACCACATGCGGCGGGCGCCTGACATGCGCAAAGCTTCAGTTAGCGGTTCACGCCATTTGCTGCAAATTGCCAAAGAGTTTCGTGCTGGCCTCGTGATCATGCTTTGGTTCATGACAGCGTCAAGCCTGCGGTCGAGAAATGATGGAGCTAGTTGCATTATGTCATCATCACGGCACGCGCCAAGGCAGAATTCCGGGGTGCATGTGCATATGCCGAGTATAAGTAAGTACATGTACCGAGTATAATCAATCAACATGAATCAACGTGCACAAAGTAACGGTTCCTATTGAACAAGACTTGCAAAACGACGAGATTATTTACAGCACTTGACATCCACTGGCTCCAACCACCTGCTCACCTCTTCCCCCGAGGCTTCTTCGCCTGTACCTTTGCCTTTGCCTTGCCCTTGACAGGAGCCTTCTTGCCCCCCTTGGCCTTGGCGGCTTTGGCAGCTTTTTCGGCGTCGCCTTTGCCCTTCTTCCAGCCCATGCTATCTGATCGGTCTGCCTTTGCATCCAGACGCTTCTTGTCTTTGTTGCTCAGCTTGACGTTGCCGCCCTTCTTCTTTGTAGCTTGTGGTCCGTTCAGCTCAACCCTTCCGGCCTGCTTGGCGTTATTCTTGTCTTGCTGTGTCTCGAACCATGTTCGCTTCGGCCTGGACTTGATCTCGGCCTCGTGCTGGATAATGTTCTCGCCCTTCTTGATCTGCATCTCAACTTGAGCAAGCTGTCTCTCCTCCTTCTCCTCCTTCTCGATCTCTTCGATCTCATCATCCATCTCATCAATCTCGGCCTGCCACTTGTCGGCATCCTTGGCTTCGATGACGCGGCTGATAATCTTGGATCCCTGAGATTTGCCAGCCTTGACGGCAGCCTTGACGACTTTGCGGTCGGGTTCGGCGGCAAGAGTCACTGATGTACCACGGCGTCCAGCACGGGCCGTTCGACCAACTCTGTGCACGTAAATCTCTACTGACTGGGGAGCCTCGTAATTGATGACTGTATCAACGCCCTTGATATCGAGACCACGAGAGGCCAAATCTGTTGCCAATAGATAGGAAACCTTGCCGTCTCGGAATGACTCAACACTGGAAATACGCTATTGGAGATGAAGGTTAGCAAGCAACTGGATTGGACCAGATGGCACTACTTACTTGTGTCTGGTTCATGCTACCGTGTAGCTCCGCGCAGGAAAAGCCCAGCAGGCCAAAGATGATTCGAGCCCTGTGGGCATCCTTCTTTTGGCGGAAGAAGATGATGACCCTTTCCGTGTAGAAGTTCTTGCAGATGTGTACCAGATAGCCCATCCGCTTTTCTTCACGTCCTGGACGAAGTCTCACAAACTCCTGGATTAATGTGCCTGCAGTTTTCTTTTGAGAATCCACCATGACCCTAACGGGCTTGTTGAGTCCGACCTTGATGAGACGGTCGACGGTGGAAGTCATGGTAGCGGAGAAGAGCATCGTTTGACGTGACTTTGGCAGCGTAGTGAGAATCTCGTTGAGTTCGTCGGCAAATCCATCCTCGAGCATTCGGTCGGCTTCATCAAGCACCAAGATCTCAACGGTATCGACAGAAAAACTAGCCGAGTTCCTCATGTGGTCAATGAATCGACCAGGTGTGGCGATAATCACGTCCGGCCTCAACCGAAGCTCCACCTCTTGGGCCTTGAGACTGAGACCTCCAACAGCCAGAGTAAACTTGATGTCGGTGTGCGCCGCCAGCTTTGTAGCTACCGCATGACACTGGATTGCCAACTCACGGGTTGGAGTAAGAATCACAACACGTGTGGTGGGGATCTTCTTGGGTCGATAAAGGAGTCGCTCCAAGATGGGAAGCACGAACGCTGCTGTTTTACCGGAACCTGTGACCGCACCACCGACAACATCCTTGCCCATGAGAGCGATAGGGATGGTCTTGGCCTGAATGGGGGTCGGCTTTGAGAAGCCAACAGTGGTAATACCGCGCAGAATCGGTCTCGACAGAGACATGGCCTGAAACGATGAAACGTCCACCTTTTGTCCGGGCTTTGGCTTTTCTTCAGGAGCGAAGAAGGCATCTCGTTTGGCTTTTTCTTCGGCATCTTCTTCATCGTCATCGGACATATCGTCAGGGTGATTGACGGGTGTGGCTACCGAGTCATTGTCCGAAGCTGCCTCGTCATCTTCGTCTTCGTCTCCGTCTTCGTCGCCATTACCTTCTTTGTCACCGTTGGCGTCGGCATCTTCTCCCGATTCTTCGGCATCCGAGTCCACGTTCATGCCGAATGCATCTTCTGCCAGCACTCCGTCCTCGCCGTCGTCCATGTCAATGTCCGCTCCATCATCAAGGGAAGCATCCCCTTCCTTGCCACCTTTCTGGCCCTTCTTTTCTCTTCGTCTTCGGATAATCTCGTCCAGGTCGACGCCGGCCTTCTCGACGGCCATTCCCTTCTTTGCACCTTCGAATCCCCATCCTTCAAACTCATCCTCGCCGAGATCGCCAGCGTCGTCGACCATGAATTCGAAATCAGAGTCCATGGCGCCGTCGTTCTCGTCCTTTTGCCCCCAGACTCCTTCGTTCTCTTCCGGCTGAGGCTCCTCATCCTTGCTCTTCTTGGCCGACTTCTTGTTCGTCTTTGCTTTCTTCTTGGGAGGCTGAACGGCGACCTGCTCTTCCTCGGCAACTTGGTCGTCGTTATCCGAGAGGGTATGGATAAAATCGTCCTCAATCGGTCTCTTCTGTGACGGCGCCATTTTGAGGATTTTTCGCAACGCAATTGCTACAGAAGCTCGTTGATGCTGGCGGGGCCTCAAGCAAAAATTCAAAGCAGCGACTTTTCTGCGCCAAGCCGTTTTTTCTGCCGTTTTTTGAAAATTTTGGCGGTGAGGCAGCTCTCAATCAAAAAAAGCGGTAGATTAGCGGCTATCTCCCTAGCTGTTTCTCCGAGCGACCCCGCCACCGTTGATTGGCCGACCCTGTCAAAGTACAGGCCTCTGGACGACCTTGACAATCCAAACACGCGAACGAATAGCTGGATAAATTTCTCCTGTCATCCTCATTTCGCTGCCCTGCGCCACGACACCGGCTGCTGCAGTCCCTTTTTCTAGGCGATACCCAGCATCTGTACTCTGCCCTTTATATATTCTCTCCTTTGAAAACTCGCATTCTCGTCGCGATAGCTATTCCTTCGGTTGCCCTAACTTTCTATTTGCATCACATAGCCTGACAAAATGGGTGAATCCAGGTATGTCGCCTTCTCTCTCCGCGCGCCGAGGCTCTCGGGAGCCAAGATGGGGGCTACTGGCTGACCGCAGAACAACAGACAAGAGCTCCTCAATTGGCTGAACAGCCTCCTTCAGCTCAACATGACCAAGGTCGAGCAGTGCGGAACTGGGTGAGTGTGTTCTTTTGGCACCCCGCCTGACGAACAACCCCGCTACGATATAAACAAACGGCTGACACGAGCTTCTCCAGCGCCGCGCTCTGCCAGGTCTTTGACAGCATATACATGGACGTGCCTATGTCCAAGGTCAAGTTCAACGTCAGCGGCGATTACGCCTACATCCAAAACTTCAAGGTTTTGCAGAGTATGTGCCTTTGCCCAAATCCCCCCCCTGGATTGGGTGCCCCCTTTTCACGCAGACCAGGTCCTAACGGCCCACATAGACACGTTCCTCAAGCACCAGGTCGATAAGCCCATCCCCGTCGAATCGTTGGTGAAATGTAAGATGCAGGATAACCTAGAGTTCCTGCAATGGACGAAGAAGTTCTGGGACCTCAACTTCCCCGACCACGATTACGACGCTGTTGCACGAAGAAAGGCTGGCGGTGCGCCCGCGGCCAGTTCCGCGCCGGCTCCCAGGGCTGCTGTTTCTAGCGCCGCTGCCCGACGAGTTGGCGGCACCACCCCAAGCACTGGCCCTCGTCTCGCCAAGGCAGCACCAGGCCCGGGCACCGCAGCTCTGCAGGCGGAGATAACGACTTTGAAGGAGAGCGTGGGCGGCCTGGAGCGCGAACGAGACTTTTACTTTAGCAAGCTTCGTGATATTGAATTGCTGATCCAGCAAGCCGTGGAGGAGGACCCCGAACTTGAGAAGCAAGAGGACGGCCTGGTCAAGCACATTCAGAACATCCTGTACTCTACGGAGGAGGGTTTCGAGATCCCAGCCGAGGCTGAGGGTATGGACGACCAGGAGACTTTTTAAAAAAAAAAAACGAAGCTATCGGACCGTGATATTTGATTGCTTAGAAGGGGATGGGAGAGGAGCAGATGGGGAGGAGCATTTGGAAGGACTGGGGCTGTTGATTCAAAGCATATGGCCATTCATGCGTGATGGAAGCATTCATGGGTGCCGCAATTTACACCTTTCTTTTTTTTTTTTTTGTTAGAGGACTTAGGGTGTGAATCCTATAGAGCAAACTAGTACCACAACTGTTTGGACAATACTACTATTAATACGTCTTTGTGTTGGTTGATGTTATTCTTATTTGCCCGGATCAAAGCACAGTCAGCTAAGGAACATACCCTCGGATCCTTCAACCACGAAGCGCCGAGAATGTCCAATTATAGAAGCGGTCAAGTGCACCACGGCCACCAGCTGCGACGCCGTATCCACAGCCGCACTCGCAAAGGGATTCTCGTCCCTTTCCGCTCACGTTCGGCAGAGATTGCATGTGGTCTGCCAACAAGCACGCGACACATTGCATCGGCAAGGTACAGCGAGATTCGTGGCATGCCGACTCCGTGCCTGGCCATGAAGCTGCACGTGGTCCTTACCCGGTATCCAGTAGCATTCCAGCGTTGCCATCGCCATCCGGGGGGCACTTGTCCCGAATGATGCTTAGCCCTAGGGCTATGGAATTTCACGCATCTTTTTGATTTCGCGATACGCCGCATTCAGGGCCTTTTTCGTCTCTCTCATCTGATGTCCGATATTGCACAGACGTACTCGGTTGCATCTCCAGCTAACACTCGTACTCGGACAGCGTAAAGTAGGAGAGACACCAGGCAGGCCGTCAATTAAACTTCCCACGGCTGCTAGGCAGGGGTCGCGTATCCACCGGTTAGTGCTCGCCCTGAGCAGAGACAGATTGAGCGGTATTACGGGGGCTGCCGTCAGCTGGCAAGCACTAAAAGCTGGGCTGGTTCCACTGAAAGTCCCCAAAGATCCATACATGTTCCGTGCATTTAGCACACACTTTGTGCGCGTATGCGTAAAGTACTTGTACTGGCACAGAGCCGTCACTCCTTGTCCCGACACTTGCATCGTCATCAATCCTTACTACTCCGTACACAAAACTCTAATCACAAGCTGCCACGACATAGTTCTCGGCACGCTGACTATAACAAGGGGAGAGAGAGAGAGAAAACTTGTCTCTTCATTCTCTAAAGAAAGCACCATCACCTGAACCACCCCCGGCCTAGCATCAAGGCAGACCAGGAAAAGTCGCCGGATCCTTGAAACGACAAGAGCCATGGCGCCACCGCCCGAGATTGCGATACCGTCGACGAGCGTCTCTGACGAAGGCTCATCGAAGCCCTACACGCTATACAACATCAGCCTTCGCCTACCGCTGCGCTCCTTCATCGTCCAGAAGCGATATTCCGAATTCGACGCCCTTCACACTGCCTTGGTCAGCCAAGTTGGCGCTCCACCGCCGTTGCCCCTGCCCGGCAAGCATTGGCTCAGGTCGACCATCAACTCGCCCGAGCTCACGCGGGAGCGGCAGCTTGGCCTCGAAAAGTACCTGCGAGTGATTGCGGAATCGCCGGACCGAAGATGGCGAGACACGTCGGCCTGGAGAACGTTCTTGAATCTGCCGAGTTCTAGCACGAGCAACTCTACAGTGTCGGCGGCAGGTATGGTTGGCACAGCTTCAGGAGTGGCGGACCCGGGGGCCTGGCTGGATGTTCACAGGGAAGTGAAGCAGTGTTTGCATGAAGCGAGACAATCCCTTTCGAAACGAGACGGAGCGGCCGACAGCGGTAATTTCACGGCGGCGGCGGAGGCGGCAGCGGCAGCCAAGAGAGTGCTGGTCAAAGCCTCCGGGCTGGTTAGCAACCTTTCGGACGGCCTCCGTAGGATGCAGGAGTCGGGGAGACTGGGTGAAGGCGAGATACGGCGAAGACGCGACCTCATCTCGGCCGCCAAGATGGAGCGAGATGGTCTGGATAAGCTTGCCAGCACGATGCCTGGCTCGTCGGTGATGACCCCTAGCCGAGGCGGTAGCCTGCCCCAAGTGCATGCGTCCTCTTCCAACAGAGCGAACCTCTTCGGGGGAGTCAAACCCGCGACGTCGAGTCGGGTACTGGGCGCTCCATTGCCCGAAACAGACCGAACGAGGGAGCTCGACAACCAGGGCGTGCTGCTGCTACAGAAGCAGGAGATGCACGCCCAAGACCAGGCAATCGACCAGCTCGCCGCAATCATACGGAGGCAGAAAGAGATGGGCATTCAAATCAACGAGGAGGTGGAGCGACAGACGGAGCTGTTGGACTCGCTCGACGAGGACGTCGATCGGGTCAATGGCAAAGTCAGGGTCGCTAACAGGCGTATTAAGAAGATGTGACTCATTGCCACGATGGCTCCTTTTGAAGCATTGCTGCTGGCAATGAGAGTTTTGGCTTACTGGCTTTGGGTTGCCCAGACGTTGTTTAATATTTTGGCTTGGGTATGGGAGTTGGTGATTGTGATTCTTTCTTTGGGTGGGAAGCCGGCATAAACCTCCTTTTCTTGATTATTGCTTTTTTAATGCGGGAAGACACGACATACGGAGCGAGCGAGCGAGACGTTGAAAAACATTCACCATCATGCATCATGTATTTTTTTTTTTATTTGATCCGTCGGAGGAGGGCTTGAGGCTTCGGGGCGGCAACCTGTTTTTGGCATTGGCATTGGGGTTAACACGGTCAATCGCTATGATATCAGCTGTAACGATAAATGGCAATTTACGCAATACCGTTACTATCATGAGACGCGTTGCTGAAATAGATAGGCCAATGTGAAACTTTTTTTTTCTTTGGAGTTTGAAGTTGGTAATTTTGGTTGTTGTGCGCATGTGTTGAACATCGAGGCAATATCACCAATACGAATACGGCCACGTCTAGTCGGCCGTTTTGTTGAGCCCCGAGTCTGGCACATGGACTTCAGGTTAGTCCCAGCCAGTCCTTTTTAGACAGGTCGACTCGTGCTATCACAGTCACGGAGTGGCTGGTCAGTCCAGCACGTGAACCAAAAATATGCCATCACACCGCCACCCAGGATTCCATCTCGTAAGACTTGGTCTATCATTCGCTCTGGCTCTGTGATGAGTGCCTACATGCGCTTGGCACGGTGATACCATCCAGCCAGCCATGTACTTGGATGAGACGTGGGAGCGTCCTTGCACGAATCAATCATTCATCCAACTGCCGGGGGCGGCAATCAGTGAGCCATGGCCAACGGTCTAGAACACCTGACGACACCATTTCGAGGCTTCGAAACTGGGGGCACGTTGGAGGCTGGAAGAGTCAGGATAGCTAAGCATCGAAGGAATCAACCAACCTCCAACGCTGTCAAAACTTGAAAGCCTACAACTGCCACGCTAACGGCTGCGGTGTCTGCTAGCATCAATACGTCACTTGTTAGAGTGGCAAAGACAGGATCAGCTGTAGTTGCTGGGCAACAGCGCTACTATTTTTTTCCAACTCCGAGTCTGGCCCGCCGCTATCTCCAAGGAACCAGCCGCTGCCAGTGACATGCCGACCTGGCCTTGATGGCTCTGCATGTATGCACTTCGGCTGCCTGCGAGCAACGCATTGGACACGTCAACTTCACATGAAAAAGGCGGCAGCGGTACTCCGTACAGACTCTATGGGTCACGGCATCAACAAAAGTGCTTCGACCAAGTTCTCGTCGATTCGTCCGGTCAAACGGGTTATCAGTGGATCCCATGTGTCGTGGGGAACTCTGCAACGGCCAGGGAAGCAGGCCCTGGCGGTAGCGAGGGAGTCGTGATTGGGAAAAAAGGACACTTGCGAACCGGGGCTCTGGCTCTGGCTCCCGCGAAGCGACGTCGCGACGGCAATTGGGCTTTGTGAATGGACAGAGGCGTTACGCGGACGCGTGAGATGCTGTCCTGTAGGCGAGGATATGGAGTACATACATGTAGGCAGATGCAGGTTGAAGCGGGACAGAAATCCATGGCTGGGAAGAGGGGCTGGTGGTGGATGCTGATGGGCAGCAGAAGCTCATGAAACGTCCATCCCAAAGAGCAGGAGGAGAGAGACGGCGCGTACGGGAAAGAGGTGCCTCGCGTTGTCTTTTCGCTCTGTGGGCGGTTCTTCTTCGGCCTCTCTTTGAATGGTTTCGTATAGTGACCGGGGAAGCTTCTTGTGGACATCCATGGATTTGTTGACAACATCAACGAAGAATAATGATGACGAGAGTCGAGAGCCGTGAAGCATGGATGGATTCAAGGTTGGGATTGATAGCGCACCTCGTTTAGCGGCTGCAGCACCCTCCAGCTGCCAACCCAGCTCCCACAGGCCCCTAGCGCGCCTCTGTGACGTTTTCCCCGGGCCGTCCAGCCACTAAAGCAGACCTTCTCCCAGCCGCTGTCTTTTCTTCTTTCCGCCCCTCCCAAACCCTGGACGGGGTCCATCCAACATATTGGCCAGACAGCTGTTAGCATTCATTGGGTTGGATTGAGCCCTGGTCGGCCGCTATCTCTCGTCGTTGCTCCAGTTCCAGGTAAACAATCCGCCAGGCTGGGTTTTCTCGTGCTCGCTCACGGCAGATCACAGCACTGGAGCTCTTTTAATCCGTTTTGCCCACCCCACTTGCTCGTGGCCACCAAAACCTCAATTCAAATTTAATTTCGCCTGCCCCCATGTCGAGGCTACGCCTCCTGCTCGATCTCGTCAAGTACACGCGACGACTCGATCCCGCATTTGCTTAATTGGAGAGCCAGACGGCTGTGCGGCGTGTTTTTTTGTCATCTGGAGCCCGGCGTTTGTTTCTCTGTGGTGTTTGTTGTCTTGGTTAGTTGAATCCCGCTAGGACCCCCCCAAAAGAGCGCTGAGATGCTTCCCTTCATCTCACCAGGCTCTTTGGCCCCTTTTCCCCAATGGCTGGGCAGAGGGGCTCGTTGCCTGTCGCAAAATTCACGAATTGCTTCACCCGCGACGGCATTGTGGCAGTGGCGACGAGTTTGGATCTAACATGTCGGCTAGGTTTCGTTTGTTTCCTGTTTCCGGTCGCGAAATAGTTTTCACCACGGTTTCCCATGGCTTTCTCGATGCGCTCATAGACCAAAGGCCATTTGCAACTTTGGACATTTCAGCATCTACGCAGAACTCTTTACCACGCAGCGTCCCATCGAGCTACATCTTGACCGAGGAAATTTAATCGACAGGCATGACTGCGCCGCCACCACCTCCGCCGCATGGCGAGGTGCCCAAGCCGTCGTCGGGTCTGCCTCCCGGCAACTACGACATATTCGTCATTCCCCAGCACTCGTCAGGCTCTGGCTTTCTGTACCTGCCATCGCTGCAGCCGAACGTCAATAGTTTCGTGGCAGGCTTTGCCTCTGCGCTGATATGTGTTGCCCTGTTCCAAGCCGTGGCACCGGCCGTGAAGCTGTGGGTTAATGGCTCCAGCATAGGAGGTACGGGCTTAACCACGCTCTTGTTGGGGGTTGGCATTGGCGCCTGGGCCCTGGGTCGTATGCAGACTGGTGGTCCGGCACCTGCGTCCAGCTCGGGCGATAAAGGCCGAGGTGGAGGATTCGGTAACGGACATGGGCCTCACGGCGCAAATGGTGGCTTCGGAGGCCCAAACTCGGGAGGGCGAGCAGACCCCAATGCGCCGCCTCCTCCCCCTCCTCCTCACGGCCGCTCTACTGATGGCGCGCCTCCTCCTCCGCGCCATGATCGATCCCAGGGAACCTGGAAGAGTGCGGATGCCCATCCCGAAGAGACACCGCGGCCGCCTAAGCATGGATCTGAGCCGGCCTCGTCGCCTTCCCACCGCTCACCATCTCAAAAAGGCCCACCACCTCCAACCCCCAAGTCACCACTGGACACCGAGAAGCAACGCCAACGCCAGCCTGCGCCATCGGAGGAAAAGCCGGCTCCTGAAGTAGAGAAGCCAAAGAAAAAGAAGAAGAAGGTGCCGCCTGCAGAAGAGAAGAACCCAGTGCCAGAACCTGAAAAGGCACCTCTGAAATCTGAGCTGAAGCAGCCTGGCTTTGAAAAGATGTCTCCAGTGTTTGGGAGAGATTCCCCAGAACTTGAGAGGAAGCGAATGTCCTCGCCAGAAAAGAAGTACCCTCCGCCAGCAGAATCAAAGCCTCCCGTTTCCCCGGAAAGGAAGAAGAGCGTGCCTGAGCTAGCAAAAATACCCGACTTCGAAAAGAAATCGGCTCCTGGTTTAGAGAAGATGACAGCAACGCCTAAGGCGGCGTCTAAGCTGCCACGCATGCCAGACCTGGCGCCTATCCCTCCATTTCGACCAGATCCCCGACTGGACAAGCAAACGCCTCTCAAGCCAGACGCTTCTGTGTCTACTGAGGCCAAGCAACAACCACCGCCTCCTGAGCCGAAGCCCGACCAGAATCCTGCTCCTCAGCCGGAAATGAAGAAGGCCGAGAAGAATGAGACACCGAAAGGAACGTGGGAGAAGGCACGCGAAGAAATGAGGAAGAAAGAAGAAGACAGAAGGCTCAAAGAAGCAGAGCAAAGGCGTCGCGAAACAGCTGCCAGAAAGTTGCTTGAACTGCGTGCCAAGGAGGCAAAGGAACGGCAGGAGCGCGAGAAGGAGAAACTTCAAAAAGAGATTGAACAGCAGGCGAGAGAGGAGGTAGAGAGGCATGAGGCAGAGAGGAGGCGCAAACAAGAAGAACTAGAACTGGCTAGGCAACGGGAAAGAGAAGCGAGAGAGAGGGAAGCGATAGAGAGAGAAGCCAAGGTGCTGGAAGCCAGAGAAAGGGAGGCGAAGGAGAGAGAGGCAAGAGAAAGAGAGGCGAGGCAAAGGGAAGAGCAGCGAAGGAGAGAAGCTGAAGCCAAAGCAGCGGCTGAAAAGAGAGCGGCAGCAGAAGCCAAGGCGGCTGCGGAGGCCAAAGCCGCGACAGAAGCCAAGATCATCGCTGATGCTAGAGCCGCAGTCGAGGCGAGAGCTGCAGCTGAGGCTAAAGCTGCCGCAGAGGCCAAGGCAGCTGCCGAAGCAAAGGCTGCCATGCCCGACTTTCGAGCAAGCCGAGTCGGCAGCACCACCTATGCATACTCCAGCGTCGGTGAGAAGACGGCCATGTGGCCCAACGGCCGACCTCCTGCACCCCCTCCTCCATCGACCTCATCCCCCTCCGTGGTCTCTTCGGCGACCTCTAGGATGTCTGACGAAAGCGACCGAACAGAACGGACAGAACAGACAGAACGGACAGAGAGATCGGAGAGACACGAAAGATTCGACAGGGGCGAGAGCCCTACAAAGCGGCCACCTCCCGCTGCTGCTCCGTCCGAGGCTCCTTCGTCTGCTTCAAGGAGATCAGACCCTTCGGCAAGACGATCAATGCCCACTCCGAAGTCATATGTTAGTAGCAATAGCAGCTATGTAGAGTCGGAGACGTACTCTTACCGGCCATACGACCAACCAAGCAAGCCACCACCGCAACCGCCACACCAGCAACACCAGCAACACCAACAACCACCACCATACGACCAGACACCCCCCAACAAGCCGAGACATAGGAAGTCGACGTCATCTCTTACGGGATCTGACGCATCATGGGCGGCCTCTCAGACAACAGCTCGAACGACGCCACCGCCTTCGATACGATCTCCCTACACGACTAATGATCCTGACAAGGTTGTGATCCAATCCGTGTATCTCTTCGGGAACCAATTCACAAAGACACCATCCAGCCAGCTCATATCAGGAGTTGGCACGGTGACAGACGGCCTGGTTCTTCGAATCACAACCGAGGGACTCTTCATCGATGACGACGTTCGCGGAGTCCCCCAGCGCGAGTGGGACGTCAAGGCCTGGACACTCAAACTTGTCGAGGTGTGGTGCCTGCCACATTGCTTGACTGCACCGCCGCCATCAGCCGGATCTACCGCTAGTAAAGGTTCCGGTTTCCTTCACAAAATGGCTGGCAGAAGCCGCTCAGATCGGGATGGGCCCGCCGCTTTTACGGGCACTGAGGCTGATCTGTACCTATCGGAGATGCTTCACGCTTGTAGAGAGTGTTGTCGTCTTGGCCTCTGCGACCGTACGTTTAAGAACACCAACATTCCATCATCGACGGGACAGACTGGGGAGTGGAAATCCAAGGGCCTACATGTCCTTCGAGCGACACTTCGCGACCAAGAAGCCAAAAGTTACCTCTTTATTGTTGAGGAGACCGAGGGCTGGAAACTTGCGGTTGGACTACAACGGCTAAGACGCGGCACCCAAGTCCGACAATTAGGCGTTGCTAGTTTACCGCCTTCCGAAGCTCGTGGCATGCTGGAAACGTTGGGCTGGGTTGCCTGATGGGTCGATCTTTGCGAGTCCAGAGATGTGAAGCGATATCCATGTTGAGTGGAAAATGCGTCTACCTGCAAAGAAAACACAACGGGAGGTCAGGGCGTGAGCTGGAAGATGAAGGCTTTTATAAGTGGGTGTAATGTGTTGGTGTTTCACTGGAATGCAAGCGGCATTGTTATGTGAGATTGAGGCTCTGATGAGGGAGGGTAAGGAAAACGGATGTGAGTGCTTGGCGTCACAACATTCCTTTTAACATGGCCTGGCATATTTCTTACAGACAGTTTGGATCCTGGTAGATTCAGGCCACGAAGGACACGAAAAGAATACCCCAATGAAGATATTGCTAGTACAACTATATACCAAACTTGAATATATAATACCACTCTTTCAACAATGATGAATTGCAAAACTGGAACACAGAATGAATGGTGAGTTATAACAAGTGCCTATAACCTCGCATGAGATGAAACAAAAGGGTATCAAAATGCCTCCCTCTCCCACCGCTAAAAACCACCATGACCTCGCTATATATCTAACTGATATACAACACAAAAGCTAGTTCAAACATGACTATGAAGTGACTAAACAGGCTCATACATATGCTGAACACTAATATACAACCCAAAACAACAAAAGACGACACCAACTAACCGTGAAGAAAAGAAACAAAACCCACTCCCAAAACGACACCCCTTTCTCTCTACGCCTTCGAAACCATGCAGTATCCTTTCAAGCAGCACCTACTTATACATCTATATACAGTCCATTTACAAACCCTACGCTCGCTTATCAGCAACATCCCAAACCTCGACGTCGCCGCTGATCCTTCCAAGGACCAAAACGCTTCCATCCGTAGAGAAATCAGCAGACGTGACCAGCGGCCCACCGTCCCGGGTGCACACCACGGCGCCAGAAGCCACGTCCATGATGTCGAAGCCTTGCTCGGTCCAGCTCGCAATGTAGCGGCAGTCGGGGGAGATGCTCAGGGGCCAGCCCTCGCAGGGCCGCGTGCTGGAGAGGCTGTACGAGGTCAATTGGCCGTGCTGCGGCATCCAGATGTGCACGACGGAGCCCCAGACGGAGACGATGGTGGTGCCGTCGGGGGAGACGGCCAGGGCGCGCGGGTTCTTGGACGTCTCCATCTCGAGCTTGTAGAGCGTCTTGCTGGCGCGAGGGTCCGTCACGCGGAGAGTGCCGTCGCGGGAGAGACTGACGAGGGCCGAGCCAGGGGTGAAGGCGACGTGGGTCACGGTGTCGATGTGGCCGGGCACGCGGCCGATGCGGGTCCCCGTGCGGACGTCCCACAGACCGATGCGGTTCCGGGGCTCGGCGGCGGCGATGGCGCGGCCGTCGGGCGACCAGGCAATGGGAGCAGAGACCTCTTTCAGCTCGAGGACGGTCTTTCCCGAGGCGAAGTCGCGGACCATGAGAGACAGCGTCGACGAGAGAGTGGCGATGCGGGGGAACGGCGGAGCGGACGAGGACGACGCCAAGGCCGAGGCCGAGGGCTTGCCGACGCGCAGGGGGGACGAGTGCAGCGAGGGCGAGAAGCTCGCGACGGGGCCGATGATCTTGGAGTAGCCGCGCTGGGTGGCCAGGTCGAAGGTGTCGATCCAGGGCTGGTCGGCCTGGGCGCCGGGGAAGATTGCGTAGGCGACGGTGGACGAGGGGGAGATGCCGACGGCGGTGATTTCGGAGCGGGAGGCGGGGCGGGTGTAGCGGAGGGTGAGAGAGACGGAGATGGGGACGGAGGGGAAGGGGGGAGGAGGTGACGGAGAGGGTGCGGGAGACCTGGGATTTTTTGTGTGGTTCGTTGGCATTTTTGTTGATGAGAACGTTGGCGGTGATGGAAACTTACATTTTGGCGGATATGAGGCAGGGTAACTCAAGATGAACAACGATGATGACAATGGTTATGTGAATTATTCGATTCGATTTCAAAGAAGAAATGTTTTTTTATTGAATTTATTTTTCTGTCTACTCCTCCCACTCCCCCAACGAGGCCAAAGTCATCAAAAGCAGCAGCCCGCCGTCTATTTATCCCATCCCCCCTCCCTCTTCCAAAGTAAACAAACCCCAAACCAAACCCCCATGTAACGGCGGGACCAGTCATCTCGCAGCTCCTATCGTCGGGGGCACGTCTTTGCTGACAAGAGACAAATTCGGAAAATGTCACAGCACTATCTAAACTTGAGCCATTTCTTCTTCTTTATTTTTATCTTCTCCACACTTGTTTCGTATATCGCTTAGCTTCTAGTTGTGATTCGAACGGTTCTAGAGTTCTCTTTGACGAAAGGTGTACTCTAAACCAAACGGAACTCGGCTACAACGGCTTGGGAAGGGCGTCATCTCAATCAATAAAACAATTGAATCAAGGCAAACAATGTTAAAAGCTCCAACACGTTACGCGCAGGCTGTTAGCAATTGCAGCTTAACCCAGGCCCCGCAAACCTGACCTAATCCGTCTCGCCGGGCGTTTTTACACGTATTCGCCCCGGGAGGAGAGAGAAGCTAAAGGGCATAATTGCCTGATAGGGCAAGTTTCTTTTTTGCCTTCTTCTGAGCCGGCCATCTCAGAAAGGAGATTTTTCAGCGTGACTCACGCGAGCCCGAACATTTGCGAGAAACCGATATTCAGCTTTGTTTTTTGCTAGACTTGTGGGGAGGGAAGAAGTACTCGTATTTCAAACGTTTGTTTCGGCGAGATGGATGAGGTTTAGTTGGGGGATTAAGCTTAAATCGTTAGTTGTGGTCGTGATTCGAGGGCGCGAGTGGTAAAATGAGGCTGCTTGGGTAAGCCGGGCTGGCTTTGGCCGAGCCGGATGTGGCAGTAATAGCCTGACCCTGGCGTTTGTTGGTGGCGTCATTGATGCTCGGTTCAAGGTGATTATGTGAAATGGCGATTGATGGGTTACAAAGCTGTTTTCTCAGTCATCAGGCACAACTTACTAATAGAAGGGCTGTTGCCGGCCTCGGCCTCGGCGTCTCTGCTCATGGTAGAGACAAGTGGAGACTCGTCTGTCCATCAAGGTTCTATCACGACTTCACCCACGGGTATTAGTGGCAAGAAGAATGCGGTATATTCCAACGTCAGGTGGTTTTTATTTCTATTTTTTTTCATCTTCCTTTCTTAACTTTTTTGTTTTATACACATATCCTATTCACCACATTAAGCGCCGAAAGCCTCCTCATAGTTGACCATGCATGATCTGTATCGCACGCTCGAGTCTGCCAGTCTGTTCATAGCCTGCTGCAGACCTTCTTTGGAGATGGGAATCTTCTCTACCCAAGAGTGAATGCCCTTGGATGCTGCCAGGTCCAACATCTCCAGCATCTCCTTACGGCTGCCCAGATGTGAGCTGCCTATGAAGCAGCCGTTTCCGAGGAAGTCTTGGTTTCGAACGGAGACACCCTCACCACCGGGGAGACCGACAGAGTTCCATCGGCCGTGGACGTCGAGCAGGCTAAGGTATTCACCCAGAGCAAAGCCCTCGAAGGAGTTGGCAGTGTTGATGATGAGATCAAACGTCATCTCGTGTCCCTTGGTCCAGTCCTTCTCTGATGTTGCAAGGAAGCCATCAGCTCCCATCTTGCGGGCGTCAGCCTCCTTGGCTCGGGTTCGGGAGATGGCCCAGGTCTCGGCACCCAGGGCCTTGGCAAACATGATGCCGTAGTGGCCCAGGCCGCCAATACCCACGACACCGACCTTCTTGCCAGGGCCGGCACCGAAGCGCTTCAAGGGGCTGAAGACGGTGATGCCGGCGCACAGCATGGGGGCGGCGTCGGCGCTCTCCAGAGCTTCGGGGATAGGGTATGTCCTACGTCATCATTCAGGTCAGCCCTCTAGGCCGTCAAGTTGAGATCAAGGTTCTGACAGCCACTCACCAGTACTCGTGGATTCTAGAATGAGAAGAATAGCCTCCCTGGGTTGTGAAGCCGGTGTCGAGGTACGGGGCGCCGTAGGCATCGATCTGGTGCTTGCAGTACGTCTCGTTCTCGTTCTTGCACTGGCGGCACTCCAAGCAAGAGTACACCTGCGCGCCAACACCGACTCTCTGGCCGACCTTGGCCAGCGTCACCTTGGGGCCGACGCGGATGACCTTGCCGACGACTTCGTGTCCCACGGCCAGAGGGTAAGGGCAGTCGCCCCAATCGCCGCTGATGGTGTGGCGATCACTGGCACAGACACCGCAGCATTCTGTCTTGATGTCGACATCATAGTCGCCAAAGGGTCTGGGATCCCACGAGCCCTTCTCAAACTCGAGCCACTTGCCAGCGCTGGGGGACTGGAAGCCGGTGAACTTGTCAGGAACTGCCATCTTGAGCTCTTTTCTTGTTGTATGGGCGGGGGAGCTGTAATGGGTCTGTCGGGACGGTATAAAAGCAACCTTGATGAACGGGAAGCTGATTACAGGAAAGAAAAAGAAAGAGAACAACCAGAGGAATCAGTCGCTGGTGAGGGGGAGACGCTGGCGGTTATAATTGCCCAATTCTCGGGTCATCGTTCTGCCTCTTGTCTACCCCACCATCATCATAGGAGGGGCAGCCACTGCTTCACTTTACCCGCGCCATTCTCAGGCCTTCTCCGCGCACAAGCAGTGACGAGATAGTCTCTGAATCTTTGCGGATGAGGAGCCTCTAGACCCTCACAAACCCCCACCCTTAGAGGCGAAGAGGCGTATCTAGCCCATTTCCGTCGCCGATACCGCGAGATAATCCGGCGGCTGCCCGATTGTTCCACCAAAGAGAGCTCGCGATAAGCCGATTGCCGTGGATGACTTAAGCAGACGACACGACCAGCGGGCCAATCGATGCCGAATGAGTGCCGAGTTGTTCACCTCGTGAGAGCTCTTGTGGTTTCAAGCTCGATGCGATTCGGGGCCGGATTCCGAATCCAGTGCTTGGATCATGTTGTCAAGATATTGAAATCTCTCTTGGCGCCTGCATCCTCCTTTCGGTAGCTACTCCAACACCTGATGCCTCTGTCGTAAAACTGTGCCTCTATAGCCTCTCTTCTCGGGTCTCATCGGCCGTCCTCACAGCCCAACCCCTGCCAGGAAACACAACCTCAGCGTCGCCCCCGCGTAAACCCAAGGCACGTTGCCAATATCGCCAGCGTTCCAACCCGTGATATTGTAGTAGATCTCAGGGCCCAATTCCTTCATCGAGTACAAGTGTCCAAAGTCTGCAACCAAGAGCACCAGCACAACGGTCCGCCACACGCGCAGATCCCGGGTAGACCGGAGCACAAGCGCCTCGTTGATGGCGAAGAAAAAGTACATGTTTGCAAGCTGGGACATGGCCACGGACGTGCCCCGCGAGACCTGCGCAGGTGCCGTCGCCCTGTCCAGGAGCTCGAGATAGCGCTGCTGGCGGAAATGGGTGTAAAAGACCCCGACTAGAGCGGAAATGGGCTCTAGGAAGAGAAAGAAGAGGCGGTATGCAAGGGGGAAGCGAGTACTTAGTTGCGCTGGCGCCATGATGCGGTATCGTGAAAAAGTCCAGCTGTTTCGGTCAAGGTCAATGCAGAGCCAAACTAGGCGGATGTGTGAATTGTCCAAGTTCCAGGCCTGCTGCAATTGCGCTGCCATTGGCTACTCATGGTCTTGAGCGTATGTAAGTAAGCCGTTGCGGTGACCTCCTCCTGCTGTACGTTGGCTGTCATCCTGAAGCAGATGCACGTCGTCCCAACTCCACTGCCGAGAAAAAACGTGGCTGAATCAATTCTTCCTTTGTATCTTTGTTAGGTTCACCAGGGATGGGACGACGATCCCTGCCTTCATGTTGTCTTGTCCAGGGGCAGTGTCTCAGTTGTCTCTTATTCATCTTCCAGCCGCCTGGTTAGATGAGGGCCGTGATACCTCAGTCTCACGACTTCATTTTGCAATGCCGCGAGCAGACCATTATTACAAAGCGCAGTGGGAATATATTGAAACACCCATAAAAACAACTATTTTTAACGTCTCATCTCATCTCCGTTGTCACTCGTCCTGCATGCACTATTGAGACATGCCTGTTGGGTCAATGGCCAGTTGTCTTTTTGTCCAGGCGCCGTCTTGGCAGGCACACACACACATCGCACCACACCGCAAGGTACAAACGGAGCAGCGGCCAATCTCTTGTGCTCGCTCTGCGGCGAATGGTGCTTCGAGAACATTGAACATTGAAGCTAGCAAAAATCTCAAGTAGAAGCGCACAGTCTCCACGGAGATCATCGCGGTCGTCCAATCCCAGCTGCAGCGGCCAAGACAAAGCGATGCCCGGCAGACCCGCGGGAGAGGGACGAGAATCCAATGGCTCGCCAGCAAACAGAAAAAAAGGAACACAAAAGTGCTGACTTGGTAGCGACCCGTAATTTACGGCCACTCCGCTTCAGATCGCACCTAAAAAGCACAAGTGCTGCGAAGGACCTGATCGCTGCCGCTGCTAGTGGTACTTGTACTTGTACTTGTGCCTTTTTCGCCATCGATACTGCGAGACTGAAAAGTTTTGCGCCTCCACGCGTGTCGTTTTTGAAGTTGTCGACGTAGTGGTTGATTAGTAGACAGACACATGGACTGTTTGCGATGGATGCCGGCAAATGACTTGATTCACCTGGTGACGACTGAGATGTGATGATGTGTGGTGCTATTATTATTATTATATTATTATTATTACTGTGCTCACCATGTCAAGGTGAAGACGGCGCGGCCTGACCAGAGCCAGACCGTGACCAGCATGCACAGGTCATCAGGGGCATCCCCAGAGTCCGGATGCTTCTCTCCACTCTGCTCCGTAGTTGGAGATAGTCTAGTGCTAGTAAGGGTCAGTGGAACAAATCCGGGGCATTGATCTCAAGGGATTGATGTTACGGATTAGTACCTGCGACTTGTTCCGATGGCTGTGGCTTCGATGCCATCCAGTCAACATGAAGCATCAGGTACCTGTACCTCTACACGCCATGTCGTGGCATCCCTCCTCCAGGGGCAAGCCTCAGTGCCGTCAGAATTTTTTTTCTTCCAATCCTTACAGGGTCTCCGGCAAATGGTGGGCATCTGTCCATCTCTCCAAGTCTGTGCGGGCTGCGCCGTACATGCACTAACACAGCCCAGTAATATGCCCGTATTAGTGACAACCAGAGCAGATACCGCTATCGGTCCCCTTGTTTTTTTTTTTGGTCCTGCTACTTACTGCTTTTTTACGTCCTATCGCAACACTGTTTCTTCGCTTCCTCTCAACCACTCTCCTTTTCCCCTCTGTCCTCATTTTCATCTCCTCGCCGCCCCTTCGACTGCTCAGCAGGATCCTGCGTGGCCTCCTAGCCGTCGTGTTTCATTTCAGTCCCGCTAAAGTCGAAAACCGGACCCTCTGGACACGCACGAGGCATTGTCAGCCGCCGCGTGGCGTCCATCACCAGCAAGACCGCCTTGCCCTGAATCTTTGTGCATTCCGATTTCCAGCCCGAGTTTTCAACTCTCGCAACCACTTCTTGCTTGTCGATATTTCCATTCTCGCTCCTTGGAGGCACTGTGTCGTCTTTGTCTTTTTTTGTTTTACCGTCTATTCGTTGTTCGCGTTTGTTGGATCCGCTGGTGTTTCAGCACTCCATCTCGAGACTAGTCAGTCGTCCTTCCTTTGCCGACGAGCAAGACGAAACTCCACCGAGGCTCTTCCACTTCGACCCCGTTGATCAGCAATCCTTTGACGAGCCTTTTCGTGTTCGACAAATTTGCCTTTTACTCGCCACGATCCGAACCAATCTTTCCATCACGAGCCCAAACGTTTACGGCCTACAATCGCTGCTTTGGAATAGTGGTACGATTTGTCTGCACCACCACAAAGACTCCTTTCAAGCCAAGGTTCTGCTCAAACAGACACAATGGCGGACCAGTTCCAGTCCTACACCATGGGGGCGTCTGCTGGCAATCGGGCCACTGGTGCTCCCTCATCCCACCAATCCCATGACCAGCGCATGCGTAGCCTGAGCCTCTCCAATCTCCTCCGAAACCACAAACATGCCGTCTTTTCCCACGACGATCCGCACCCGCCGCGCCAGATGAACGACGTCGCCATCGACGATTCGGAAGACACGCATGAGCTTCCTTCTCGAAAGCGCCGTGTTCGTGCTCAGAGCACCGCCGGCACCATCAAGGGCGTGATTCGCCGGGCCTCCTTATCCCTCAAAGGCATGGTTCACCGTCGGCCATCCATCACAGCCGAGCCCTCTGAATTCAACAACCAGTTTGTTTCCCACGCCAGACCGACGAGCGCCCATCACACGTGGAACCGCCTTCGCCACGCCGCGCCCTTTCGCCGGTCGAGGTCTTTCTACGGCTTTAATGTTACCGATGATGGCCTCTACGAGCAACAGCAGATGCAAAACCCTCACATGCCTATTCCCGCAATGGGAGACGAGCCTCCGTATATTCCCATGAATACCGGCGCTGCCGCAAAGGCCTCAGTGGCGCTGCAGAACGAATACTATACCAGACAAGCTATGCACACCCAGTGGCTGCAGTCGTCGAGCGAGGATAGCAACGACCGCGAGAGCGGAATCGGCATCGTCGTCACCCAGCCTTTTATTGAGTCGGGCCTCAGCGATGACGGATCCGTCCTTGCTCAGGATAGCAACATTAGCAGGGTCGACTTTATCAAGCAGCTGCCGTCCGAACTCGCCATCCATGTTTTGGCTTGCCTTGACGCCGCCGCTCTGGCCAAAGCGAGTGCCGTCTCTAGACACTGGAATGGGGTGATCCGCAACCAGCATATTTGGAGAGAGTCTTGTCTACGGGAGATGACCACCACCTATGCCACCAGTGAGCCCGTCAAGCCTGGCGCGGGCTTGGGCATTCCCGAAGTTGTGCCTACCAACGATTGGAAGCAGATCTATCGTGCCAAACTTGAGCTGGCTCAGAAGTGGAAGGAGGGCAAGGCTCGCCCCATGTACCTTAACGGACACATGGACAGCATCTACTGTCTGCAATTTGATGAGTATGTTCCGCCTCTCCCTCTTGCCTTGTCTTGATTTGACGTACGTACTAACCCTGCCTCAGGTATAAAATCATTTCCGGCTCCAGAGACAAGACCATCAGAATCTGGGACATGCAAACCCTGGAATGTCGCCTGGTCATCGGACCTCCCGAGGTGGTCAACCACCCCATGATGCTGGAGGATGCTGAAGGCAACCCGACCCATTATGTCAACTTTTCCGACAGCTATCGGGCGTCGCCCTCGATGCCAAAGGTGGCTTCCTTCGACGAGCACCACAAGGCTTCTATCTTGTGCTTGCAATACGACGAGGAGATTATGGTGACTGGCTCATCGGATTCTACGTGTATTG